CTCCAAAAATACTCTTAAATACTGTTAAATACACTTAAATACATCTAATTGAGTTTCCAATAATAGACTTTACAAGAACAAAATGCACAAACAACATCGAAGCAAACGTTTTTATATTTCAAAACATATTTCTGTAAAGATTACGTTGTGTTTAAGATGAAGTTTGTGTGTGTGTCTGTGTGTCAGAGTGTGTGTGTGGGTGTGTATATCTGTGTGTGTGTGTGTGTGTGTGTGCTTGTGCGTGGGTGTGTGTGTGTGTGTGTGTGTGTATGTCTGTCTGTGTGTGTGTTTGTGTGTGTCTGTGTGTATCTGTGTGTGTCTGTGCGTGGGTGTGTGTGTGTGTCTGTGTGTATCTGTGTGTGTCTGTGTGTGGGTGTGTGAGAGCATATGTGTGTGTAAATGTGTGTGTGTCTGTGTATCTGTGTGTGTGTGCGTATGTGTGTGTGTGTGTCTGTGTGTGTGTATCTGTGTGTGTCTGTGCGTGGGTGTGTGAGAGCATGTGTGTGTGCGTATGTGTGTGTCATCTCCTGGGACCATTACCTGTCCATGTGTGACTTCCTGTCTACCCACAATCCTCTCTGCTCGCCCCCTCTTGCTCACACACAAATGGAAACAAAAGCTGTTACATAAATTATCGTCATTATCAGAGACTATAGTTAATGAGTAAAACCTATGACCCTTTTTATTCCAGGCTTTAACCAAATGATGGAGACGCAGTTTTGTAAAAGGGCCTAAAACCAAACAACAGCGACGCAACAATGTGTCCCTCAAAAAGTGATCCATCAAACAGTAAAACATCAAAGGGTTGAACCACAGAAACTGAAAAATCATTTATCTCTGGCCTCGTTAGATCAGCTTCGAGGACCACGCTCTCTCAGCCAATCAGCTCTCAGCCAATCAGCTCTCAGCCAATCAGCTCTCAGCCAATCTCCTCTCGGCCAATCAGCTCACAGCCAATCAGCTTTCGGCCAATCAGCTTTCTGCCAATCAGCTCTCAGCCAATCAGCTTTCGGCCAATCAGCTCTCAGCCAATCATATTTGTATTTGTCATCCAGCCAACTTCAGCTCTGTCTAATATGAATAGACATAAGTTATACCTCATTTTAAATCCTGAAATCCAGTCAGTGTCGTCGGCCCCCGGATGGTGACCTATGGAAGCTCTGTAACTCAAAAGTCTGGACACCCCTGCTCTGTGGCGTCCCTTCATCAGACAAACATCAGCCTAAAGGAGAGAAGCTTTGTGCAGGTTAGACTGAGATCAAAGATCATTTACATCTGTAACATCTGTAACATCAGATAGAAACAACACAGACATGACATAGTCTGGTCGTACCACACCATAGTACTAATTTCATTTTGTACTAAGGTCTGGATGTGCTCCATTGACTCCGTGAACAGGTGGGAGGGGCTAACTCCTTTTGCAGATTGAAACCATTGGATCTGAGTTTACTGTGACGTATGTAATGAGCCTGAGTGAGTGAGGCATTTAGCATTTAGCCTAGCTTTAGCATTTAGCCTAGCTTTAGCCATCTCCTTTGCTGCTAACGGAGCCCGTGGGGAGTAGAGCCACAATCTTTGCAGAGATTACATTTGTTAAACATTCCTCTTGCTCCGGCTTCAGTTTCTTGATAGAACCAGAGCAGAATACTTTACTTTCACATTCTTCACCAAACTACAACCTGCTCGATCGGCACAAACTCTTGACGTCACCCACATCTAACCACAACACCCGCCTCCTGCGCTCTATGATTGGTCGGTCTAAATTCAACCGATTGTAATCTCAAACACAGGGACCAGACCCAGACGTTACCTGCAGGACATGATGACAGAGTACGGATGGATAAGACCTGGACCAGGGGCCACTGAAAAGACACAGACCTCATTCTTTCCTTCACCGTCTGTGGGAATCCATCTTGGATCCTCCTCCCTTCTCCCTCTCCACCTCCTCCTCCCCCTCCCCCTCCTCCTCCTCCTCCCCCTCCTCCCCCTCCCTCTCCACCTTCTCCTCCTCCTACTCCTTCTCCTCCCCCTTCTCCTACTCCTCCTCCTCCTCCCTCTCCTCTTCCTCCCTCCTCCCCCTCCCCCTCCTCCTCCCTCCTCCTCCCCCCCTCCCCTCCTCCTCCCCCCCTCCTCCCTCTCCTCCTCCCCCTCCTCCTCCACCTCCCCCCCTCCTCCTCCCTCCCTCCTCCCTCCTCCCCCTCCTCCCTCCTCCCTCTCCCCCCTCCTCCTCCTCCCTCCCTCCCCCTCCCCCTTCCACCCTCTCCTCCCCCTCCCCCCATCCCTATCTTCCCCCGCCCCTTCCTTCTCCCTCCTCCCCCCCTCCCTCCTCCTCCCCCCCCTCCCCTCCCCCTCCGCCCGCCCCCCCTTCCCTCCCTCCCTCCCCCCCATCCCTCCCTCCTCCCCCCTCCTCCCCCGCCCCCTCCCTCCCTCCTCCTCCCCCCCTCCCTCCTCCCTACCTCTCCCTCCTCCCCCTCCTCCCCCTCCTCCTCCCCCCCCCCCCTCCTTCCCCCCCTCCTCTCCCACCTCCTCCTCCCTCCTCCCCCTCCCTCCCCACTCCTCCCCCCCTCCTCCTCCCCCCCCCTTCCCTTCTCCCTCCTAATCCTCCCCCCTCCTCCTCCCCCCTCCTCCTCCCTCCCCCCCTCCCCCTCCTCCTTCCCTCCTCCCCCCTCTCCCCTCCTCCTCCCCCCCCCTCTTCCTTCTCCCGTCCTCCATCCCCCCTCCTCCCCCTCCTCCTCCCCCCACCTCCCTTCCTCCCCCCCCCCCCGCCCCTTTCCTTCTCCCTCCTATTTCCTCCTCCCTTCCTTCTCCCTCACTCCACCCCTCACCCTCCTCCTCCTACCCTCCCTCCCCCCTCCCCCCCTTCCTCCCCCGCTCCCTCCTCCTCACTCCTCCTCCTCCCCTCCTCCCCCCTCTCCCTTCCTTCTCCCTCCTCCTCTCCCCCATCCTCCCCCTCCCCTCCTCCCCCCCCCTCCTCCCTCCTCCTCCTTAATCAGGCTTGATCCTCCAGCAGTCTGTCTCTCGATGTCCTTTTAGCAGAGCAGCAGCGAGGATTCCGACCTGTGAGACTTTATGGCGTTTTCCTCGTGTTAAAATCAACTGCTAAAAAGGTAATGTCGTCTTGTTGTCTTCGCACCATGTGTCTCCAGACCATGTGTCTCCAGACCATGTGAGTGTTCTTTGTGCTATGTTGCTAATGTGCCGGTGTGTTTGTGTTTTAATCATATTTAATCGCTTTTGAATATCTATTTTGGCCTTGCTTGATTATTGAAAAGTTGTTATTGTCCAAAACCCAGGATAATAATTCAATAATAATAATAATAATAATAATAATAATAATAATAACAATAGCCTGATCTGAGGAGTAAAGATCACATGACCTACTGTATATGTGGTAAAAACCAGATCTTTCATAATAATCTTATTTATTTTACTTGTAGAAACATAGAAGCTTCCACAGAGCATTTCAAAGAGAACATTTGCTGATGTTACAGGTCACATTGTAACGTCTTGCAGGTTCTCGGTGACTCCACAGTGCAACGAATCAAGAATCTCTTAATCATTAAAAACAGGTGGTATTTTCCTTAAGATGCAATGGACAAAATGTCTAAAGCAGGATTAAGTCGTGGGACAGACTGAGAGCAGTGTCTGTGGCTTAAGCTCATCTCACTAATGTTTATTAATATATTATGGACTAAAACATCCACATATGTTAGTTTGCTACGATACAACACTAATAAAACACTTATATATATAGTTTGTCGAATGCTGCGTATGTCTGTGTGTGAAATGCAGGAGGTGTAAGCGTTGTTTGGACTCGGAACAAAAGCCAAAAGTGCAGAAAGATAATCACATCTGTGGGTTTCACGGTGATAAATCTGCAGATTCTGAAATATGACATGTTTGATCTAATTTAACATTACAACATTGTAGGAATTTGCTTTGGCTCAAGCTGCAGTCGAGTGGTGAGAGTATAAACAGGTAAACTCATAATCCATGTGTTTTAAAGCACTTTTCCATCTTGTTTTTGATCTGCTGTGACTGAGCAAAACTATTATTGATACATGTTTCTGTACACTGCTAAAAGTGGTGAAAAATAAGTCACAAATTGCTAAAAAATTGGCAAAATGTTTCTTAGTCTGAGCTCATTCTGACTGCATTAAAACAAGATTCTCCACTGGGACAACGCAAAAGGATCTCGTCTTTGTCCCATTGGAGAGAATCTGGTTTAAACACAGTCACAATGTGTCAGATTAAGATAAAAACCACTAAATTAAAGCCTTTATCACCTCATATTTGATCATTTTTTGCAGTGAGATATGTTCCAACAGCTCATTATTCGGCCCAGATTCTCAGACGCTCGGTGGATGCGTCTTATGCAAGAAGCTGATCTATGTTTACCGCAGAAGCCTTACGTCTTCTGCAAATAGGATTTCTCTGTGTGCGCGGCGGCAGATCTAAATATAGGACTCAGTGAAAACTCAGAGAAAACCGTCTGCGGCACATTCTTTCTCAGACTGAGACGTCATCCTGGACCATGTGGAAACGACTATTTTGGCTTCAAGTTGATTTGACACATTTCTTATAAAACTCAGACACTTTTGTTTCATGTTTGTTGTTGCTGAAGGTTGAACAATCAATGGGAAAGTCTCAGTTCTTCAGGTTTTTGCCAAACTCTGTCAAACTTAGATTTCCAGAAAGGTCTTTAATGTTAGTGTTGATGAAATAATAAGTATCTGTGGAATCTGGAAGCTGCGGTACTTAACTTTATCATTGTTTGTTCCGACAGAATGTAAAAGAAAGTTGTGAACAAAACCTGCTGTTTACTCTTTTAGAAAACATTAGTAGGAAAGAGCCCTGTGTTTTTAGTGTTTCCATCTGATCTGAAGAAGCTACAAATACCTTCAGTGAAAATGATTGACAGATAAAGTCTCGATGCTACATGTCTGACACCTTTGATCTTTTGTTCCCTTCTAGGAGCACATGCCAAGCCAGCACCAGGGATGTGGGAGCCCCCCTCTGAGCACCATGCGCCCCTCCACCGGCCCCACCCGCCCCAGACGCGCCCCTCCCACGTGAGCGCTCCCCAGGCCAAGCGCATCACCTTCTACAAGAGCGGAGACAGCCAGTTCTCGGGGGTCAAGATGGCCGTGCACAAACGCAGCTTCAAATGCTTCGACGCTCTCCTGGATGATCTTTCCCAAAAGGTTAGCGCTGGGGGGGGGTTGGGGGGGCAGTGGGTGGGTGGGGGGGGGGGGGGGGGGGGGGGGGGGGGGGGGCAGGGCAGAGCGGGTGTGAAGCCCGAGGGGTCAAAGTGTGAAGTGCGGCGGGAAAGGCTGGAACTGGAGACCGCAAAATCTCTCTGGGTTTAGTTTGATTCTCTCTTTATAACGACGTTTATGGATCTGTCTGTGACGGATTTACAATGTTCAGATCTGGTTTAACTTTTACTACATCCATAATCTGGGCTTGTTCACACTAAAAGGCACAAAAGTGTGACAAAAGGCCAAAAATCAGATTTGAATAGTCAGTAGATATTTAATGTTTTTCATGTTTCCAAACACCTCTGTTCTTTAGAAGTTTCTAAAACATAACTGTTTTATACATTAGACAAGTTTCCTGCAGCGGCCTGTTTATTTTATGTAACGGACGATGATTTGACGGAATGAGCTTTTTGGAAGTTTGATGGTATTTTCAGATCCACATTTGATTCAGAGATTCTACTTTTTTACACAAAGTAGAAACAAAGTGATACTTTCTTATTGTCAACCAATTAAATGTGAAAACAGACCAGATTTTTATTTTTCTCAAGTTTAATTTTTAGAGAAAAGAGGACCGTCCTCATCACGTCCGTTATACATATCAGGTGTGATTTAATTAATTAATTAATTTTTATGTGAAGTGATTTCCTTCTGTTGTGTTAATGTAAATCTGTGGGATTTCATCTTCTGCTTTTTCAGACTGAGGACATTTATTTTCTGTGTAACTGCGTCACAGTAGAATGGTCCAATCAGAGGCTCATTTGGTCGTTTAAAATGCTGCTAAACATTTTTATGTCAATCTTTCCTTTTGATTTTTTACACACTATCTCTTCAATCTGTCTGTGTTTGAAATCTTTTTTCCAAAATATGAAAGTAATTTTAGTTTTTAAGTTATAACCTTTTAAAGTCCAGATACTTCCATTGTCACTTTACTGTGAACACACTCAATCTATAATCTAACTTTTGAGTCTGAAAAAGTAGTTCTGAGTCTGGTCACTTCCATCTCAGTTGTTGAAAGTTGTTACAAATGTACAAAGTGATTAAACTGGATTTGTTTTTCTTTTCTGTTAGACGTTATCCTGATAAACTTTCAACAGTATTAGTATTGTTCATTAGTGTGACGGGGAGTCGATTACTTTACTGCTAAATCCATGTTTATCTCAAGAAAGAGACCTGTGTTTTGCTTCTCCTAAAGGTTATTGGGCCTCATTCACGAATAACTTCGTAAGAAACTACTCAACTTTCTTCTCAAGTTGTCCTTAAGTAGATTTCTAAGAAGTCCCCACGTGGGATTCATCAACGCGCTCGTAAGCCGCTGAATTGTTCACAGCTGTTCTCTCAGATTGATGAATCCCATTTCCTCGTAAGTACAGCGCGCGTGCCAGGTGCTTCATTAGCATAGGTACTTAGCATAAGTAACCGCCCATTAATGCCCATATAAGGGGATGCAGGGCCGTGTGCAGACGGCAGAGGAAACAGCAACAGGCCTAAAGCAGGCCTTTTTTCTTCTTTTACCAGACTGAGAATAAAGTTATAAAATGTTGACTTAAAAGTCGAAATATTATGATAATAAAGTCGAACTAGCAAAATTATGAGATTAATCTAAAAATATGATGAGATTAATCTCAAAATGTTATGAGCTTAATTTAAAAATATATTATGTATTATTTTAAAGATGAATCTCAAAATGTTTTGAGATTAATCTCAAAATATTTTGGACCCTGGGAGGAGATCCAGCGCGGACCAGCGCTGAGACCAATGCAGACCCGAGGAGAGACTGGAGTGACCAGCACACAGAAACCAGCGCGGACCTATAGGAGAGACCGCATAGACTGGAGTGACCTGACTGGAGAGACCGGTGCGCAGAGACCAGCGCGGACCGAAGATAGACCGCATAGACCAGACTTGAGAGACCAGCGCGGACCCGTATGGATCCAGGAGCATGAAGCACGGACCCGTATGGAGAGAGACCAGTGCAGACCCGTATATGGGAGAGACCAGTGCAGACCCGTATAGATCCATGGGAGAGACCAGTGCAGACCCGTCTAGATCCATGGGAGAGACCAGTGCAGACCAGTATATGGGAGAGACCAGTGCAGACCCGTATAGATCCATGGGAGAGACCAGTGCAGACCCGTATAGATCCATAGGAGAGACCAGTGCAGACCCGTATATGGGAGAGACCAGTGCAGACCCGTATAGATCCATGGGAGAGACCAGTGCAGACCCGTCTAGATCCATAGGAGAGACCAGTGCAGACCCGTATATGGGAGAGACCAGTGCAGACCCGTCTAGATCCATGGGAGAGACCAGTGCAGACCAGTATATGGGAGAGACCAGTGCAGACCCGTATAGATCCATAGGAGAGACCAGTGCAGACCCGTATATGGGAGAGACCAGTGCAGACCCGTCTAGATCCATGGGAGAGACCAGTGCAGACCAGTATATGGGAGAGACCAGTGCAGACCCGTATAGATCCATAGGAGAGACCAGTGCAGACCCGTATATGGGAGAGACCAGTGCAGACCCGTATAGATCCATGGGAGAGACCAGTGCAGACCCGTATAGATCCATAGGAGAGACCAGCGCAGACCCGTATAGATCCATAGGAGAGACCAGCGCAGACCAGTATAGATCCATGGGAGAGACCAGTGCAGACCCGTATATGGGAGAGACCAGTGCAGACCCGTATAGATCCATGGGAGAGACCAGTGCAGACCCGTATATGGGAGAGACCAGTGCAGACCCGTATAGATCCATGGGAGAGACCAGCGCAGAGACTCAGCGCGGACCCAGTAACCTCCTGCAGCAGCAGTATATATGCCGTTGTTCTGTGGCCCGTGGATAAAGAAATGCCCCTTATAAATAGGAAGGGGTCACTAATACACGGCAAGATTTCCAATGTATTTGATAAAGCGTTGGCACATTTCATTTCAAAATGAATTAAAAAGTAGGCCAGATCTGCAGTGAAAAAGGCGGTATATAAATAAAGATTACGAATAAAGATTACTACAAATAAATAAATACATACATCGATATGACGGAAATATCACTGGAATGTTGTATTTTTATTCAACTTCACCAAAGAGGACAACCCCGGCGTGTGAACATGTCGGCACTGAATGCGTACGAGTGCTCCTGAGGACTCGTAGGATTTGTACTTGCCCAAGAGAAATTCTGGTTACGAGAAATATTCGTGAATGCCACTTTCTTCGTAAAAACCGCGTAAGTAGGATTTACGTACAAATCTGTTCCTAAGAACCGTTCGTGAATGAGGCCCATTGTCTTTTTAGTCTGATTTGGCAGTGTTTTGGTCCTAGCTCACCATCTCGGTCACAGACAAGACTGAAACTCCTTAAAACCTTACTACAGTGAATAATTAAGTCATGGGAAAATGTGTGAGAAAGTTTGTTTGAAAAATTACTAATATCTTTGGTAACACTTTAGATTAGCCCTCACTAATTAACAGCTAATTACATCCTAATTAATGTGCCTAAACATAGCATTAACTTTAGCCCTAACCTTTACCCACATGAGATAGTGTCAGATGTAGAATAATGACTAATGAATGATTAATAGATACAAATAATTAGAATTACTGAGGGCTATTGTCTGTTTTTCTCTGTTATATGGACTGAAAATAAAACGTCTGGGCGTCTCTGCTTAGACTGCTGCCCCCGCGACCCGGCAACAGATGAAGCGGAAGAAAAGGGATAGATGGATAAAATAAATACAAATAAATCTATATTTCTTTGCTCTATGTTTCCAGGTGCCGTTGCCGTTCGGCGTGCGCACCGTGACCACGCCGCGCGGGACTCACACCATTCGACAGTTGGAGCAGCTCCAAGATGGCGGCTGCTACCTCTGCTCCGACAGACGCCAGGTCAAACCCATCCACACAGACCTGGCGCCCCGACAAGGAGGCTCCCGTCACGGGCCTAACCGCCTGGAGTCCGCCTCAGAGTCTCCCACGGGACACGCGCCGTACAGACAACGGCGCCTCCTGCTGGTGAAGAACACGGAGCCGGGCGTTCGCAGGAGCGTGGTTCTGAGCCGGAGAGTGACCCGCAGTCTCAGCGCGTTCTTGGAGGAAGTGTCCGACGTCATGCGCTTTCACGTGCGCAAGTTGTACACCGTGGAGGGCCGCAAGGTACGACAGTGTCTGTGGTTTCCTGTCTTCAACCCCAGTCACATTTGGATATTGCATTTCAAGACGCCCAGAGACGCCGGACATTAGATTAAAGACATCGCTTACATAATTAGAAATACAGAATACAATAGATCTAAAGTAAGACAAAGAAAATTCTCTTGCACTACTTTAAACACTGATTCAAAATGGCCAAAATAATTGAATAGTTGACTTCAAAATATAAACACAAAATATACAAACTATTTATGCACTATGTAAACATTGTCCACTAACCTGTGGCTAAGTGCTTGCTGCTGATCTGCTTAAGTTATCATTCAGTCAAAATGTTATGCTTGAAACAATAATAAAACTCTTGATTCATTTTCTCCAGATTGACAACGTCCAGAGCCTGATGACGTGCCCTAATGTCCTGGTGTGTGTGGGGCGGGAGTCCTTCAGTCCGCTGCTGGTGAACTACATCCAGAAAGGTTCAGAGGAGAAACTGCCGGGTGTGGGTCCTGCTCAATCTCCCCCCTGCGGAGCGCATTCCAGAACCAGCCAACAGAGCGAGAGCCAGGACAGCAAGAAGAATATGGGTGAGTTCTGAATACTGCATAGGAAGTTTAAATTGTTGTAGAGAATTTGTCTTCTCTTTGTGGTTATGAATCAAAATGACTCAATGCATTCATTTGTTTTATTGTATAGCTCTGTAGGACCCGTGCACTATGGCCTTCTCTAAGATCCACAAAGATGTGATTCAATGTCTGATCTTTTCTCCTTTGTGTCTCTGTTCAGTAAACTTTGGCCTTGAAACCAAGAAAAGCATCATCCACCCTCGCTCGGACTCTTCAGCTCGCTCTGCTCGTCTCTCGATGTCGTCAGAGAAATCCAACGGCCTCAGCACCGTGTCCCAGGGCCGCGCCGCCATCATGAACGAGGACATAGAGAAACGCGTGGTCGTCAACAAGGACGGCAGCCTGTCTGTGGAGATGAGGGTGCGATTCCGTCTCCAAAGCGACGAAACCTTGCAATGGTCCACCCAGATCAAGAAGTCGCCATCTCTGACCAACGATTCGTGCTCGCTCAATCATGGCCAACCACATTATCTGCAACATGAAAGTTGTTCTGATCAGGACTGCAATTCGTACGAACCCGAAACTGGTGACTACTCCTCTCAATGTGGAATGGATACAAACGGTTGCACCTATTGCTGCAGGCGAGAACAACCTTACGACTTGTGGAAAAACCCAGCGCATTGCCACAAACAGCCATGCCCTCCTTCCCGATCGACCACCGAAAGCCGCACCATTCTAAGGCACACCCAGTCCTCTAGCTCAAACTCATCATGCAACTCAACTAGAGTAGTACGCTGCCGGGCGAGACTGGTCAACTGTGAGGACGGGTCTGAACACAGCCAGATTGTCCAGGAAGAAATGTGTGTCACGGAGAAGCATGTGGTTGAACAGGAAGTTATCACGACCAGCAATGTCGATGGTGACGCCCCTCGACCTTCAAGCTCCAAATCCGTGGAGGAGGAAGTGGAACGTCCCATGTCGGCTGTTAGCGCCTCGTCACGTGTTTTGCAAGAACTCAAAGAAGATGACGACGACGTGCCGCCAAGTGCTTCCAGATGTGGAGGCGCTGTGTCTGAGACCTCTGAGAATAATGACAAACCAATGAGAGGTTCTTCAGCAAAACAAAATGGCAGGACTCGGGAGAACGAAGGGTCAGCGTGTCTGTGTCATTCAACATCTGGAGTGCAGCTGAACGGACGCGCATCCACATCGAAATCCAAAACGTTCAAATCTACCAAAGAGTTATCAGATGGTGAGGGGGAAGAGAGTGCATCTGTTAGTGGATCTTCTGCGTGTTCAAAGCAGTCTGTGACGTCTGTGTGTCCCGATTGTGGAGGTTTTAAAGTTAAAGGTACCTCTGGGTGCAATAGCCGGGCTTCAAACAAGTCAAGTAACAAATCTAAGCCAGCGACACCACATTCAGCTGAAGACGAAGGAGATAATAGTTCAGAAGTTTCAACGCTTTCAAATCTGAGCAATCGTACCAGTCAAAGGGAACTGTCCATGATTTCCAACGGAGAATGCAGAGCAGGGAGTCCGCAGTCCAAGAATGGAAAGATGGGAGATGACGAGGTGAGAGCGACCAGTGTAGCATCTAGTAAGTCAAGAAAATCTGTCTGCAAAAGTGAGTGTGTTGAAAGTAGAAGCCCAAGTGTCATATCAGTCAATACCTCAGATAGAGTTTCCAGCGCCATGTCAGTCAAGTCCAGCACCAAAACCAGCTGCTCACACAAGTCTAGCATAAAAGTGACCGCTCCTACAACAGAAGAGGAAGACACCAGATCAGCAAGTGTCCAATCAGAGAAGTCCAATGTGTCGAAAAGTAGGTCTTCCAGCGCCAAATCAACCAAAGCAGAAGAAGAGGCGAGGGCTGCTAGTGTCCAGTCACAAAAAACTAATGAATCTGCTGTTGTGTGTCGACCAACGAGTGCGAAATCACATGTTTCAGAAAGATCTCAAGGTGAAAAGGCGGAATGTGAGTCAAGAGCAGAAGGTGTTGCATCAAAATCCTCCAATAGAAGTAGATCAGCGAGTCCAATGTCTGTTAAATCAAGCAAGAGTAATGTTTCAGACAAGTCTCAGAGAAATGGACCAACACCTTCGGAAGTGCAGTCTGGTGGACAGAAAAGTAGACCTGCTAGTGTCTTATCTGTGAAGTCTGTCGAGTCAGAAAAATCAAACAAATCTGAAATTATGGAAGACGACACACGAGCTGCAAGTGCTTTGTCTGTAAAGTCTTCAAAGTCTCATGCTTCGCAAAACAATGACAACGCTGAGGTAACTTCCAACGCGTCCGCCAAAGAAAGTAGAGCTGCCAGTGAAATATCGGTCATATCCACCAATTCTGAAAGATCTCAGAACGTTGAGGAAGACACCAGATCCGAAAGCATAATCACTGTCAAAGCAAAATCTGCGAAAGAAAGCAGACCTACTAGTGTGATATCTGTGAAATCATGCAAGTCTGACAAGTCCAAAAAGGAACATGTTGGAGAAGAAGCTTTAAGCATCCAAAGCGAGCAGAGGGCAGTGTCCAATGCCAAAGAGGACGGGGGGGAAAGAGGAGAAAGCACATTGTCTAAAAAGTCCAGAAAATCCAATACATCAAGGGCTGGAAATGTTCAAAATGAGGAAGAAAAGCAGGAGGAAAGAGCTCCTAGTGCTATTTCTAACACATTGTCGGTCAAGTCGAGCAAAACCAACAGGAGTTTGAGATTAGCTTCTCCAGCCAAAGAGAAAGACCGAGCTTTGAGCGCATCTTCTGCCAAAACACACACTTCAACTATTAGCGCCAAGTCAAAAAAGTCCAACCAAACGGACATTTCCACCAATGTTAATGAAGAAAGTGAGGAGAAAAGCCAAAGAATGAGAAGTCCTGTGTCTGTTAAGTCTTGCAAGTCATCAAGATTTCATGTTGTTACAATAAAGACACCAGAGGTTGTCAGCAACGCTCAGTCAGAAAGTAAAATGGCTGAACATACTCAAGAGCTGATCCCAGACACTGTAGAGGTCAGAGGAAGTTCTTTGTCAGTGCGTTCAGGCAGATCTACAAGGTCCAAGTCCAAATGTACATGTGAGAAAACAAACACAGACAAAGAAGACACAAGAGAGGACTCAGACGTGGCTGCTCTGAAACGCGAAGATCTCGACGAAGACTCATTTGCCTCGGTTTCTATCGTTTTGCCAGAAGATCAAGAATCGGAAAGTGGCGAATCTAGTATTTATCAAAGAACCACAAGCAAAACTGACATCTCCAAAAGTACTAACATAGCTGAAAATGTTCAGTCAACCCCGACCAATGCTATAAATATCCCAACTATTGAAACACCAGGACAATTTCACAATAAAGAAGGTGCTAGCGATGAAAAGAGCAGAGTGGAAAGCTCCTGCTCCAGCAAAAGCAAAAGCACTAAGTCTAAAAAGTCATGTTGTAGTTGTGGCAAGCCGACCACCCATGCTAACAGAGTCGCTAGCCCAGTGGCAAGTGTTAAAACCATTGCAACTACAAAAACTGGCCAATTAACAACTGCAGATGACAGAACTATGTCAGCAATGTCAAATGCAAGTGTCAGAAATGCAAATGTTACTAGTGAGAAATCTCAAGAAAGCGAGACCGCAGTGGAAGATAAGAGTCCTGCTACAATGGAGACAAAATCCGGGGAATCAAATCAGTCTAAAACAAATTCAAGTCAGGTTGACAGTGTTGTTAAGCAATCTGTCAAATCTCCAAGAGCTCCCAAGGGCCAAACATGCAGCGAAAGTCTTATATCTCCTTCACTCTCTGCTGCGGACGTCGCCAAAGAAATAAAATCTGCTGAACTTCCAGAACGCTCAAAGTCAAAGGTGAGCAGATCCGGCAACAAGAGTCAAAGAAGCAAGAAGGAGGCGGAGCCAGAGCTGACCCCGTCCTGTCTGCCCAATGCGTCCGCTAACGAGGTTGTCACCGACTGGCTGAGCCGCATTCCCGCCAACGTCTCAGCTCTTGAAGATGACGAGGAAGAGAAGGGTGTAGAAGATATTGAGAATGAGATGAGTGAAGGGAAGGTGAAGTGTGACGGGGATGAGGAGAAGGTAGAGCAGAGCGAGACAAGGAAGGAAGGAACAAAGAAGGAAGAAGGAGCGGTAGAAACGTTTGAGATTCGGCCGATCGGGATGGAGACCGAGAACTCACTGCCCAAGAGCTGGCACTCGTCTGCGGCGGTGATGAAGGTCCTGCTCAGCTCGTCTCTGGGGAGATGCCGGAGCATGCCTGAGGTAAGACTGGGAACCAAGACCCTGTGAGTTTGGTTTTGACAGGGTTCCAAATAAATACGGTGTCGTTCCTTAATGTAAAGCTGGAGAAAAGGTCTGATCATCTGAAAACCTAGACCTAAACTCCTCTAATCCTGTTAATTGTTTTATAGGACATGGATCACAGTATAATATTATCTGTGGTAAAGAAAAGAAGTAGATCAAAAATGAAAAATAATTTAAGGGGCCTGGCCCCAGAGCAGCCAGGTCAAACTCAGGCCCAGGGGCAAAATTAAGCCCACAAGACCATTTTCAGAGGCCCCGGAAATAACTTTGACTTATCTTTATCACAGTAACTTGCAGTGTTGATGGTGATGGGCCACAATGGCATGTTATACTTAATCCTATTATCTCTAAAATGTTAATAACTAAAATGTAATTACAAGTTCCTAGGTACTTGATTATTATTATTGTTTACCACCTCTTGTGTTTTTAGAATTGTCTCCCGACTAAAATCAGTTTGACCCTAACCCCTGAACTAGGTGAAGATGATAATATGGATGTGACTTATACTAATTGTGTTTTCTGACTCAAGGTGTCTCCGGTTTACGGTCGCCGCCTCAGCACCTCAGCTAAAGAGTTATTGGACTGTCTGACCCAGCTCCAGCTCATCGAATCAACAGGGAACCACTACTCTGTCCAGAAGGACCAACACCCGCAGTTCCAGGACATCATTTCCATCCTGCAATCCCTTTGGCAGGCCGAACCTGGGGACCTCAAAGACCACAAAGACCCCAACGGGACCGAGCGGGTCTCCCCACCTCGGTCTTCGTCTGGGGTGGGCATGAGCAGCGGGTCTGGAGGGTCTGCCAAGGAAAACACCCACCAAGAATATGAATCAAAACAGAATAAGGCGGTGAAAAACAAAATGGAGGACACTTCGGAAACTCCCGATGGGGCAAAAGCAACAGAAAACCCTTCGTCTATGGATAAAAATGTCAAGACTCCGACCGATACTGAGCTGGACACACAAGAAGGTTCTAAGTCTGAGAGCTCGCCCACGGACGCTCACGCTCATCTGTCCAAACGCCAATCACACGACCCAGACCCCATGTGGGTGTTGAGTCTGCTCAGGAAGCTGGAAAAGCAGTTCGTGAACCATTACGTGTCCGCCATGGCCGATTTCAAAGTGAAGTGGGACCTGGAGGACAGTTTGATCCTGGATAAGATGATGGCCGAGCTGCAGGACGAGGTGAGCCAGAGGATTGAGAGAAGTGTGGAGAGGGAGGTGAAGAAGATCCAGAGCAGGGCGGGAAAAATAGCAAGATTCTCGCGACTGATCCCAGACCACTCCACGGACTCCACCACGACGGACAAACGCAAGCGGCTGCTCAAGGTGAATACAGCAAGGGCTTTTCTCTTTGTTTTTGTTTATTATTCACTGAACGTTCAAAGAGTTTAAAGGTACACTGTGTAGTTTTTACTCACATCTAGCGTTGAAATCATATATTGTAATTTACGGTACTACGGTAGCTTCGTAGGACAATATGTAGTCTTTGACAGTGGTCCCCAACTCCTGCTCAAACTGCTTTTTGTCCCTTATCAGCCTCTGTATTTCAAGTCCTCAGCCTCATGGACATTTATAAGTCAGATTCTAACCCTGTGACAACTGTTCACAAACATGGTGGAGGTTTATATTCTTAAAAAGGTCACACGTGTTATGGGTGAACATGTTTTTTCATTTGGTCTAACTGTAAACATTACATTAGAGTAACTTTAAGGGTTTAGCAATGAATATAAAGCAGACAATAATCAATGTGTTTCTAAACATAGGCCAAAAAAGACTTGGGTCCCTGTCATAAAATCTACAACTATAGCTCCATGCTTTCAATACACTTGGATTATAGCACTAGTTTTTCTAGTATGTCATCAAATCTAAATTATACTCTCAATACAGTTGGATTCTGTAGTTTTTCATATGCCGGGTTTGAATTGTTGGCCTCGATCACATCTATAGATCCACTTTTCAGACAGAAAGAAAAAGAGAAGTCCAAAACTTCAAATAGTGACTCCCATGGTGTGAGTTTCATAATAAAGACAGTAGTAGTTTGATATTTACAAGACTGAAAACATGAGAAAAGAGTGAATTTGAGAATCCTTTTATTGCCATGTGAGCTTGTGACATGGCCATTTAATGATTCTGATTTTCCTCACTTTAAATAATAACTGATCAATCTGAACTATTTCACGTACAAACCACACTTGTGTTATTTCTTTCTCAGGTCATTAAAAAGCATTCGGCCAAAACCGCAGATTCTTTGAGCGATGACAACGGAGAGAATAGCGACCAACGCAGCGATGACGAATACTGCCCCTGCGACGCCTGCTTCGCAAAGAAAATGGCCGCCCGTCCCGTGAAAACCAACCCGAACGCCATCAAGGCCCCGGTGCAGATGGAGTTCGATCTGGTCAAAATCCTAATGTTAAAGTCTTCTCCCGTCGCAGCAAAACCACCTCCGGCTTCGCCCAAGGCTGAGGTTAAAAACGAGGAGGTTAAGAAAGTTGTGGAGGAGGAAGTGAGGAACTTAGAAGTAGTAGAAGAAGAAGAGGAAGAGGAGGAAGAGGAGGAAGAGGAGAATACTGTGGAAGAGTCCAAGTGTTGTAGTGAGTGCAGCAGCGATCAGGACGAAGAAGAAACCGGAGACAGCGACAGAGAAACGGTGAGAGAGAAAGTGTCGCACAAAGAGACGATAGAAGCAGTGGAAGAGAGTGAAGAGGCGTCCGAGGAACAGGTACTTCATACAAACTCACTTCATTAACTATAACTATGTACTTCATACAAACTCACTTCATTAACTACAACTATGTACTTCATACAAACTCACTTCATTAACTATAACTATGTACTTCATACAAACTCACTTCATTAACTATAACTATGTACTTCATACAAACTCACTTCATTAACTATAACTATGTACTTCATACAAACTCACTTCATTAACTACAACTATGTACTTCATACAAACTCACTTCATTAACTACAACTATGTACTTCATACAAACTCACTTCATTAACTATAACTATGTACTTCATACAAACTCACTTCATTAACTACAACTATGTACTTCATACAAACTCACTTCATTAACTACAACTATGTACTTCATACAAACTCACTTCATTAACTATAACTATGTACTTCATACAAACTCACTTCATTAACTACAACTATGTACTTCATACAAACTCACTTCATTAACTACAACTATGTACTTTGGGGCTCATTATGTGTCAATACTTTACAAGGAGCTAATGGATTAGTCTCCAAGTATGAGTCAATGTTAGGTCCACGATGTGTCTCAACCATAGACTGTAAATATTAAAGGACGTAGTCCTATCTCCCCCTATCTCCGCCGTTCTAACTAATGCGTCAGCTGCAAGAGCTCCATTCATTTAAACAAGTGACATCTAAAGTCCACAGCGACTAAACTAGACTGGTCCAGAACACTCAGCATTGACACACATGTGGAACGGAGCTTTGGGCCAAGAGACACTTTTGGACCATCCTGTAAAGACGTTTTTGAGAGGTAAGACGATGCTATATGTTAGCATTGGCTAATTCTTATTCCGGGTCCACCCCCACAGGCCCGGGGTGGTATTGCAGCATGTCAGGGTCCACCCCCACAGGCCCGGGGTGGTACTGCAGCATGTCAGGGTCCACCCCCACAGGCCCGGGGTGGTACTGCAGCATGTCAGGGTCCACCCCCACAGGCCCGGGGTGGTACTGCAGCATGTCAGGGTCCACCCCCACAGGCCCGGGGTGGTACTGCAGCATGTCAGGGTCCACCCCCACAGGCCTGGGGTGGTACTGCAGCATGTCAGGGTCCACCCCCACAGGCCCGGGGTGGTACTGCAGCATGTCAGGGTCCACCCCCACAGGCCCGGGGTGGTACTGCAGCATGTCAGGGTCCACCCCCACAGGCCCGGGGTGGTACTGCAGCATGTCAGGGTCCACCCCCACAGGCCCGGGGTGGTACTGCAGCATGTCAGGGTCCACCCCCACAGGCCCGGGGTGGTACTGCAGCATGTCAGGGTCCACCCCCACAGGCCCGGGGTGGTATTGCAGCATGTCTGGGTCCACCCCCACAGGCCTGGGGTGGTACTGCAGCATGTCAGGGTCCACCCCCACAGGCCCGGGGTGGTACTGCAGCATGTCAGGGTCCACCCCCACAGGCCCGGGGTGGTACTGCAGCATGTCAGGGTCCACCCCCACAGGCCTGGGGTGGTACTGCAGCATGTCAGGGTCCACCCCCACAGGCCTGGGGTGGTACTGCAGCATGTCAGGGTCCACCCCCACAGGCCCGGGGTGGTACTGCAGCATGTCAGGGTCCACCCCCACAGGCCCGGGGTGGTACTGCAGCATGTCAGGGTCCACCCCCACAGGCCCGGGGTGGTACTGCAGCATGTCAGGGTCCACCCCCACAGGCCCGGGGTGGTACTGCAGCATGTCAGCGCACGTCATTTTGGACACTTTTGAGCTGGGACCCGCCCACACTCAACCATAGAAGGATTTTAGTATTTTATGATGTGCTATTATTTATTCTTATATACTATATTTATGTATTGTATTTGTTTTATTTTATTTTACTTAAAAATAGATATTATTTTATTTATTTTACTTTTAATTTAGACTGTATTAAAAACTCAAATACAGACACATTATCCATAGTAAGAGAGATGAGTATTGAAAAGATAATTCTATTTATTAATAAACTAACTTCTGTCGTTTGCTAATTGCGACCAGTCAGAGTTAGTTTAATCCTGCGTCCCGGCGTCTTACATATGAAACCGAACGTCTAAATACAACTCAGTACAACTTTCTGTCTAATTCCGGACCCATGATGCAGTGGGAACCTGCTCCACTCACACTAAGCTCCACACAAACTTAATCTGATCCAATTAGAGCCGCTACAGTCTGAAGCAGGCCGCACTAAAGCCTCGTCCGGTCCACTTCACACTGAAAGGTTCTGGAACCGTGGGTCGTTAGCATCAGCAGCTAACGGTTCAGCTCGGTCCTCCTTCTACACTGCAAAAAGTTAGAATGTAGGAGGTAATAAATGCTTCAACGGAGACATTTGTGTCTTTTTCAAACAAGATCATTTTGCTTTGTCCCATTGCGGAGTCTAGTTTTAAAGCACAGTCCGAATGTGCTGAAACCAAGATATTTTTAGCCAAATTTTCAGTAGTTTTTGACATATTTTTCATAATTTTTTGAGTATCGTAGTTTGGATCTATCTCTAGTTTTCACGTTCATTAACAATTGTAGTTTTGATCTCTGTCGCATCTTTAGATCTGCTTTTTCAGACAGAAAAGTAAAAAAGGACTCACTAAGCTCCCAGCCCAAAGAGTCAAAGAGTGACTCCCAGGGCTCTGTCTAACTCTGCAGCAGATGTTTTCGAAAAAGACAAAAAGGTGTTTTGAGCTGAAGTGTTCTCAACATTTGATTATTCAACAAAACTCTTTCTGTTGAGACAAACATGAGAACAAAGTCTGACCAGATTGTTCTCAGCTCAAAGGGTCAAATAGTGACTCCCAGGGGCCTCTGTAAGTATGCACAAGATGAAGCGTTTTCTAATACGGGTCAGACGGCCGGATTTTGATCAAAATATTTAACTTTTATAGTAAAGCACCTACATTACTTATTAATATTATTACTTGTGTCTATTTTTAAATGACTGGAATTGTATTGTTTCAAGACCAACCAAAACCACAGCATGTTAAAGCCATAGAAAGATAAATATTTCAGTTATTTTTGTGCTTAGTAAGTGTTGTAACGGTCAAACTAAGTCTCTGTGATCCGTAGCAGAGCGGAGCAGCCGTGAGCGCCACTGAAGCTGACGACGCCGATGTGGAGGACTCAGGGACAGAAGACAAGTCAGATCTGGAGGAGGAGAACAAGCAACACAGCCCTCTGCCGCACCAGGGCACTAGGACCTCAGTGGAGCCCCAGCCTGGATCCATGGAGGACTTAACCCAAGCCTCCGGGACCAAGACCATGGACCTCCCCAGACTGGCTTCTCCCGGCGGGACTCCCCAGAAGAGGAGCAGGTCCCCGGCCAGAGTCAAGCGCAGAAAAGGCCAGAACAGCGACGGCGACTTGGACAATGTTTAGTTATTTAAGTTTTTACACTGGAAGCACTTTACTCATTACGGACTTTTTAATCCCATCGCTGTTCCCCTGACCCGGAAATGGATTAAGGGGAAGAAAAGGATGGATGGAATCAAATACATGTCATTTTACTTTGTTTTTCTTCCACTGTTGCATAATGTTATAAACTCAGGCTCAAAGATGCTGCAGCAGTTTGTGTATTTTTAGTCACAATTTAAGATAAAAAACAGGGTTCGATGTTAGCTACAGACATGCTTCAGAAATAGTACGTTATGACTTAAAACTTGAATAATTCACTTGGAAACTGCTGGAAAAAGTGGATTCCTTATAACTATAGGTTGTGAATAGTTGGGAAAGACTTTGTGCACATTTGTAAATATATCATTTATAGAAAAAAGTTTAAAATAAAATAGTTTTGATTATGTGACTTTTTCAACACCTCTGACCACACTGAAAAAAGGTTGAGAAATAAGTCAACAATAGTTTTAAAGTCTTGAATTCACATCATGTCTCTCTTGGAATTAGACTAAATTCTGGTTAAACTCAGAAGTCGATTTAAGCCATTTTTTATCACAAGTTTGATCATTTTTTGCTCCAACCAAGAACCAAAAGTCGAACATGTTTGAGTTAAATGTGTAGTAAATGTTTCTGCTGCTGATCTCTACGATGCCTTTCTCTGTCTCCAAATGACTCCTGACTGTACCTGTGTACGACACCTGAATGTACCTGTGATAATGTACCTGTGATATTGAATAAACTCTGACAGGGTGTGGTCTGTGGGTCGGGGTCTGTCTGTAACATCACACACAGAATGTAGTGGTACAAAGACAATGAACCAACAACAAGTGGGCGGGAGCACAGGTACATACAGAGACACAGGTACATACAGAGACACAGGTACATACACAGACACAGGTCTCTCTCTCTGGTCTCTCTCTGGTCTCTCTCTGGTCTCTCTCTGGTCTCTCTCTCTGGTCTCTCTCTGGTCTCTCTCTGGTCTCTCTCTCTGGTCTCTCTCTCTGGTCTCTCTCTGGTCTCTCTCTCTGGTCTCTCTCTGGTCTCTCTCTCTGGTCTCTCTCTGGTCTCTCTCTGGTCTCTCTCTGGTCTCTCTCTGGTCTCTCTCTCTGGTCTCTCTCTGGTCTCTCTCTGGTCTCTCTCTGGTCTCTCTGGTCTCTCTCTGGTCTCTCTCTGGTCTCTCTCTGGTCTCTCTCTCTGGTCTCTCTCTGGTCTCTCTCTGGTCTCTCTCTGGTCTCTCTCTCTGGTCTCTCTCTGGTCTCTCTCTCTGGTCTCTCTCTGGTCTCTCTCTCTGGTCTCTCTCTGGTCTCTCTGGTCTCTCTCTGGTCTCTCTCTGGTCTCTCTCTGGTCTCTCTCTGGTCTCTCTCTGGTCTCTCTCTCTGGTCTCTCTCTGGTCTCTCTCTCTGGTCTCTCTCTGGTCTCTCTCTCTGGTTTCTCTCTGGTCTCTCTCTTCTGGTCTCTCTCTCTGGTCTCTCTCTGGTCTCTCTCTGGTCTCTCTCTGGTCTCTCTCTCTGGTCTCTCTCTGGTCTCTCTCTGGTCTCTCTCTGGTCTCTCTCTCTGGTCTCTCTCTGGTCTCTCTCTCTGGTCTCTCTCTGGTCTCTCTCTCTGGTCTCTCTCTGGTCTCTCTGGTCTCTCTCTGGTCTCTCTCTGGTCTCTCTCTGGTCTCTCTCTGGTCTCTCTCTGGTCTCTCTCTCTGGTCTCTCTCTGGTCTCTCTCTCTGGTCTCTCTCTCTGGTCTCTCTCTCTGGTTTCTCTCTGGTCTCTCTCTCTCTGGTCTCTCTCTCTGGTCTCTCTCTCTGGTCTCTCTCTGGTCTCTCTCTGGTCTCTCTGGTCTCTCTGGTCTCTCTCTGGTCTCTCTCTGGTCTCTCTCTGGTCTCTCTCTGGTCTCTCTCTGGTCTCTCTCTGGTCTCTCTCTGGTCTCTCTCTCTGGTCTCTCTCTGGTCTCTCTCTCTGGTCTCTCTCTGGTCTCTCTCTCTGGTCTCTCTCTGGTCTCTCTGGTCTCTCTCTGGTCTCTCTCTGGTCTCTCTCTGGTCTCTCTCTGGTCTCTCTCTGGTCTCTCTCTCTGGTCTCTCTCTGGTCTCTCTCTCTGGTCTCTCTCTGGTCTCTCTCTCTGGTTTCTCTCTGGTCTCTCTCTCTGGTCTCTCTCTCTGGTCTCTCTCTGGTCTCTCTCACATTGCAGCGTCTCGGCCCGGTTCTCCTGGATCATGATGCAGAGTTGCAGCACGAGCTGAGGAGCTGACTCCAGGAAGGTCTCGAGCAGCCGCAGCATGTTGACGTCTGCGTACTCGAACATCATGGCCCAGTACCACCTCCTCTGGTGCTCCTTCTGCCGCCGCGACATCACCCCCAGGTACAGCGTGCGGATGTACCTGAGGAGAGGAGGTCATGATGTTAGTGACCTCTGACCCCTGACCCTGACTCTCTACTACAGTGACCTGAGAGAGCTTAACTTTGTCATCTTGTTTTTGTTTATGCTAACCACTACCTTAGCCTGTGTATGCTAACCACTACCTTAGCCTGTGTATGCTAACCACTACTTTAGCCTGTGTATGCTAACCACTACTTTAGCCTGTGTATGCTAACCGCTACTTTAGCCTGTGTATGCTAACCACTACTTTAGCCTGTGTATGCTAAACACTACTTTAGCCTGTGTATGCTAACCACTACTTTAGCCTGTGTATGCTAACCACTACTTTAGCCTGTGTATGCTAACCACTACTTTAGCCTGTGTATGCTAACCACTACTTTAGCCTGTGTATGCTAAACACTACTTTAGCCTGTGTATGCTAACCACTACTTTAGCCTGTGTATGCTAACCACTACTTTAGCCTGTGTATGCTAACCACTACTTTAGCCTGTGTATGCTAACCGCTACCTTCCGGCTCCTTCCAGAAACTCAAATCTGTGCCTTTTCGTGACTAATTACAAACATTAGCTATGCCTTGTTGTCATGAATATGAGCTACATAGGGGATCCTGATGTGCGTGTGTGTGAGTGTGTGTTGTGTGTGTGTGAGTGTGCGTGTGTGTTGTGTGTTGTGTGTGTGTGCGTGTGTGTTGTGTGTTGTGTGTGAGTGTGCGTGTGTGTTGTGTGTGTGCGCGAGGAGCTGCAGGGAGGCGTGTGCGTGTGTAGCATATGTGCTAATGCTCTGTAATGAGTTTCCTTTGGGCCTGTATGGCTCTCTCTCCGTCGTGGCGTGTTTCCTTTGGGCCTGTATGGCTCTCTCCGTCGTGGCGTGTTTCCTTTGGGCCTGTATGGCTCTCTCTCCGTCGTGGCGTGTTTCCTTTGGGCCTGTATGGCTCTCTCTCCGTCGTGGCGTGTTTGCTTTGGGCCTGTATGGCTCTCTCTCCGTCGTGGCGTGTTTCCTTTGGGCCTGTATGGCTCTCTCTGTCGTGGCGTGTTTCCTTTGGGCCTGTATGGCTCTCTCTCCGTCGTGGCGTGTTTGCTTTGGGCCTGTATGGCTCTCTCTGTCGTGGCGTGTTTGCTTTGGGCCTGTATGGCTCTCTCTCCGTCGTGGCGTGTTTCCTTTGGGCCTGTATGGCTCTCTCTCCGTCGTGGCGTGTTTCCTTTGGGCCTGTATGGTTCTCTCTCCGTCGTGGCGTGTTTGCTTTGGGCCTGTATGGCTCTCTCTCCGTCGTGGCGTGTTTCCTTTGGGCCTGTATGGCTCTCTCTGTCGTGGCGTGTTTGCTTTGGGCCTGTATGGCTCTCTCTCCGTCGTGGCGTGTTTCCTTTGGGCCTGTATGGCTCTCTCTCCGTCGTGGCGTGTTTCCTTTGGGCCTGTATGGCTCTCTCTCTGTCGTGGCGTGTTTCCTTTGGGCCTGTATGGCTCTCTCTCCGTCGTGGCGTGTTTCCTTTGGGCCTGTATGGTTCTCTCTCCGTCGTGGCGTGTTTCCTTTGGGCCTGTATGGCTCTCTCTCCGTCGTGGCGTGTTTGCTTTGGGCCTGTATGGCTCTCTCTGTCGTGGCGTGTTTCCTTTGGGCCTGTATGGCTCTCTCTCCGTCGTGGCGTGTTTGCTTTGGGCCTGTATGGCTCTCTCTCCGTCGTGGCGTGTTTGCTTTGGGCCTGTATGGCTCTCTCTCCGTCGTGGCGTGTTTCCTTTGGGCCTGTATGGCTCTCTCCGTCGTGGCGTGTTTCCTTTGGGCCTGTATGGCTCTCTCTCCGTCGTGGCGTGTTTCCTTTGGGCCTGTATGGCTCTCTCTGTCGTGGCGTGTTTCCTTTGGGCCTGTATGGCTCTCTCCGTCGTGGCGTGTTTCCTTTGGGCCTGTATGGCTCTCTCTCCGTCGTGGCGTGTTTCCTTTGGGCCTGTATGGTTCTCTCTCCGTCGTGGCGTGTTTCCTTTGGGCCTGTATGGCTCTCTCTGTCGTGGCGTGTTTGCTTTGGGCCTGTATGGCTCTCTCTCCGTCGTGGCGTGTTTGCTTTGGGCCTGTATGGCTCTCTCTCCGTCGTGGCGTGTTTGCTTTGGGCCTGTATGGCTCTCTCTCCGTCGTGGCGTGTTTCCTTTGGGCCTGTATGGCTCTCTCTCCGTCGTGGCGTGTTTGCTTTGGGCCTGTATGGCTCTCTCTGTCGTGGCGTGTTTCCTTTGGGCCTGTATGGCTCTCTCTCCGTCGTGGCGTGTTTGCTTTGGGCCTGTATGGCTCTCTCTCCGTCGTGGCGTGTTTTGCTTTGGGCCTGTATGGCTCTCTCTCCGTCGTGGCGTGTTTCCTTTGGGCCTGTATGGCTCTCTCTGTCGTGGCGTATTTCCTTTGGGCCTGTATGGCTCTCTCCGTCGTGGCGTGTTTCCTTTGGGCCTGTATGGCTCTCTCTGTCGTGGCGTGTTTCCTTTGGGCCTGTATGGCTCTCTCTCCGTCGTGGCGTGTTTCCTTTGGGCCTGTATGGCTCTCTCTCCGTCGTGGCGTGTTTCCTTTGGGCCTGTATGGCTCTCTCTCCGTCGTGGCGTGTTTCTTCGCCTCCTGCATTATTCATGGCGTGTTCTATTAAATCAAACTGGTTTTGAACATACACAGAAGCGGCTGCGTCGGATCACACCGGGGAGAAGGAAGATGGAAGCCTGGTTTACTTTATCAAGGCCTCAAAGGTCAAATGTATTTCCCCAAAATAACACAGCATAATGTGTATATCGCCCTAAATGTGACATATTCTACTGCAGTTAAGGTTATATTTAGTTATTGTTTGTATACTTGGTCATTCTGCAGTGCTATGTATTTAACACATGCAAAAACCATTCAAGAAGTCAATAATTTGGTTGTTTTTCTTTCGCCCGCCCCTCCCTTACCCCCTCCCCCACCCCCTCCACCCTCCCCCACTCCCTCTCTCCTCGTCTTATAGCGATCCATCTCAATCAGGATGTACCACTGTGGCTGCTGTATCGCCTTGTGTTCAGGTGGGAGAGACCATTCTGCTGAGCGTGGGGGGAGGTGGTGGTGCACTGACAGAGGCTGGAGGGGGGTGGGCTACAACCAGAGAGGAAGAGGAGGAGGAAGAGGAGGAGGATGTAAACAGAGAAGGAAAGAGGCCCAGAGGCAAAACAGCAGCATTACCAGCCTCGGTATTCAGAGAAATGATACAATCACATCAAAAGAAGAGAGAGAGAGACCAGAGAGAGAGAGAGACCAAAGAGAGACCAAAGAGAGACCAGAGAGAGACCAGAGAGAGACCAGAGAGAGACCAGAGAGAGACCAGAGAGAGACCAGAGAGAGACCAGAGAGAGAGACCAGAGAGAGAGAGACCAGAGAGAGAGAGAGACCAAAGAGAGACCAGAGAGAGACCAGAGAGAGACCAGAGAGAGACCAGAGAGAGAGACCAGAGAGAGAGAGACCAGAGAGAGAGAGAGAGACCAGAGAGAGACCAGAGAGAGACCAGAGAGAGAGAGAGACCAGAGAGAGAGAGAGACCAGAGAGAGACCAGAGAGAGACCAGAGAGAGACCAGAGAGAGACCAGAGAGAGACCAGAGAGAGACCAGAGAGAGACCAGAGACCAGAGAGAGAGAGAGACCAGAGAGAGACCAGAGAGAGACCAGAGAGAGACCAGAGAGAGACCAGAGAGAGACCAGAGAGAGAGAGAGACCAGAGAGAGAGAGAGACCAGAGAGAGAGACCAGAGTTGGAGTCTCTCAGAGTCTCTCCTCTATCTGCTGTGTGTCTGTGACCAGCCCCCGACACGCTGCCAGCCCAGAGGAGCAGATCTACTCTCTCTGCTGGCTGGTAGAGACGGGGGAGAGGGGGGAGAGGAAGGGGGGAGGGGGGAGAGGGGGGCGAGGGGGGAGAGGGGGAAGGTTGCGACACCATTTTTCCAGCGGCCACACACTAGTAGTAGTAGTAGTAGTAACAGTAGTAGTAGTAGTAGTAACAGTAGTAGTAGTAGTAGTAGTAACATTAGTAGTAGTAGTAGTAACAGTAGAAGTAGTAGTAGTAACAGTAGTAGTAGTAGAAGTAGTAGTAGTAACAGTAGCAGTAGTAGTAGTAACAGTAGTAGTAGCAGTAGTAGCAATAGTAGTAGTAGCAGTAGCAGTAGTAGTAGTAGTAGTAACAGTAGTAGTAGCAGTAGCAGTAGTAGCAGTAGCAGTTGTAGTAGTAGCAGCAGTAGTAGTAGTAGTAGCAGTAGTAGTAGTAGTAGTAGCAGTAGTAGTAGTAGTAACAGTAGTAGTAGTAGTAGTAACAGTAGTAGTAGTAACAGTAGTAGTAGTATCCGTAGTAGTAGTACTAAAAGTAGTAGTAGTAGTAACAGTAGTAGTAGTAGCAGTAGCAGTAGTAGTAGTAGCAGTAGTAGTAGTAGTAGTAGTAGTAGTAGTAACAGTAGTAGTAGTAGTAGTAACAGTAGTAGTAACAGTAGTAGTAGTAGTAACAGTAGTAGTAGTAGTAGTAACAGTAGTAGTAACAGTAGTATTAACAGTAGTAGTAGTAGTAACAGTAGTAGTAACAGTAGTAGTAGTAACATTAGTAGTAACAGTAGTAGTAGTAGTAACAGTAGTAGTAACAACAGTAGTAGTAACAGTAGTAGTAACAGTAGTAGTAGTAGTAACAGTAGTAGTAGTAGTAGTAACAGTAGTAGTAACAGTAGTAGTAGTAGTAACGGTAGTAGTAGTAGTAGTAACAGTAGTAGTAGTAGTAACAGTAGTAGTAGTAGTAGTAACAGTAGTAGTAACAGTAGTAGTAGTAGTAACGGTAGTAGTAGTAGTAACAGCAGTAGTAACAGTAGTAGTAACAGTAGTAGTAGTAGTAACAGTAGTAGTAGTAGTAGTAACAGTAGTAGTAGTAGTAGTAACAGTAGTAGTAACAGTAGTAGTAGTAGTAACAGTAGTAGTAACAGTAGTAGTAGTAGTAACAGTAGTAGTAGTAGTAGTAACAGTAGTAGTAGTAGTAGTAACAGTAGTAGTAACAGTAGTAGTAGTAGTAACAGTAGTAGTAACAGTAGTAGTAGTAGTAACAGTAGTAGTAGTAGTAGTAACAGTATTGAGATGAATGAGATTCTGATAAATCCACAGGGAAAGTACACGCCACGACTGCAGCTCTAATAAATAATTCAAAGTACTTTAAAAACACGCTCCCACTGCTTCATGTAGTAACTGTATGAGTATAATACACATACAGTAGAAGTAACAGCAGTAGTAACAGTAGAATACTGTCCAATAGTTCTGGCATGTGCCTCCTGTACTGCCCCCTCCCATCTCTGTGTGAGTGAGAAAAAAAAAATAACACATGTAAACCGCTTTGACTCTGGTCTGTGAAAGAGTATAACACACACATGTGTGAGTGTAACACACACATGTGTGAGTGTAACACACACATGTGTGAGTGTAACACACACATGTGTGTGTGTTACACACACATGTGTAAGTGTAACACACACATGTGTGAGTGTAACACACACATGTGTGAGTGTACACACACATGTGTGAGTGTAACACACACATGTGTGAGTGTAACACACACATGTGTGAGTGTAACACACACATGTGTGAGTGTAACACACACATGTGTGAGTGTAACACACACATGTGTGGTGTACACACACATGTGTGTGTGTTACACACACATGTGTAAGTGTAACACACACATGTGTGAGTGTAACACACACATGTGTGAGTGTAACACACACATGTGTGAGTGTAACACACACATGGTGAGTGTAACACACACATGTGTGAGTGTAACACACACATGTGTGAGTGTAACACACACATGTGTGAGTGTACACACATGTGTGAGTATAACACACACATGTGTGAGTGTAACACACATGTGTGAGTGTAACACACACGCAGCAGAGAAACTATGAACCATCAAATATTTAGGATACTTTCTCAAAGCCTTTGGTGATTGTTGACTTCAGAGAGTTGGAGCAGGAGGAGTCGTAAATACTGCACTGAAGTTTGTTGCTAATGGAGGAAGTGCCCGTGAGGAAAGAGCAGAGGTCACAGGAGTATTAGTACTTTTGCTTTTGAAGCTTCTGTCACTTATTCCAGTTTTCATACCTTTTCTAACCGACCCACATCGGCCTCTTGTGATCTGAAAGTACGAGAAATGTTTTGAAACCTGAGTCTGGAGTCGGTCTTGAGTTATTCATTTAACTTCCTGTCAAAACATTCCCTGTTTGTCCATTCATTCTGTACTATTTGGATTTAAGTGAAGGGCTATGCTTCCAGGAGAGGAGCTGCGGAGGAGCTGTCCATGGTGCTGAAGGTGACTCTTTATCTCTTGGTATCAGCAGCACTTATTCAAGTGTAAAGGAACAGGATTAAGTAAGTGTTGACTTTATTCATGAGGAGCTAAAAGCCTAGATACAAGTGGAAGTGTTTGGGAGGTCACCAAGTTTATTTCAGTCACTGTCTTCTTCCCTCCCCTTTCCTTAAACCTGTCACCACAATCCGAGCTCGCTGTTCTCCCTGTGCCATTGTTCAGACACAGAGAGGGGCCGTTGTCTCTGGGAATCAGGGACTGTCCTGTCAAAACACACTCATGCACTTCAGTAGGGATGGAACTTATGATAATCAAGAATGAAGAGTTTTGTTTGAGCACATTTGTAACTTTCAGCTGCTGCTTTCCTCGATGAGAGATTCCAGCACCATGGACAGAGTCTAAATGAACTGTTCAGTGATGTTCAGAGGATCCCTGACCACAGCCACACCCTGACCACAGCCACACCTTGACCACAACAGGAAGTCTATCACAAGAACAGAGACTGAGCCACGCTCTCACACTTCTGTGGACACTTTGTTCTCTCACATGGTCTTACCTCCAGACCTGCCCCAGCTGCAGGATGTGGATGGTGGCCTGCCACAGCCAGATGGACGCCAGCTGCATACGGTCCTTCCCGGGGTACAGACATCCCAGAGACACCGCGCCCCTCTTGGTGAGCCCCTCCACCTCCCCCAGCCCACCCCCGGTGTAGTCCTGCACAAACCAGCGGAAACTGAGGATCTGCACCAGCACCGAGGGCACGAGCACAAAGAAGAGCGTGAGGCCGAACCACAGGTAGTCCTGTCTCCGGTAGTAGTCCACCGCGAGGCACAGGTCCGTGCCCACGTCCCAGAAGAAGACGAGCAGAGCCAGGATGATCCAGAGGCAGTCTATCCACAGTTGCTCCCTGGGGGGGCAGTGGGTCTCTCTGATACCCACTCCTTCGAACTGCCCCCCTCCCAGCAGCTTCCCCAGGCAGGCAGAGCGGCAGCCCCAGTAGCAGGCCGAGGTGCGGCAGCACTGGCAGATGTGGATGGCGGCAGAGTCCAGATGTTCCTCCACATCATACAGCTGTGCGAAGCCCACTGCCGCCTTCCCTCCGTCCGACGCCGCGGACATGTCCCCCTTCCCGCCCTCGGATAAGCACGGGACCCGCAGGGTGCTGGTGTGTGGAGCCCCGAGCCCCGCGCTCCCTGATGATCAAATGCTGTTTGCGGCTGTGGCCCTGGGCGCGTGCGGCCATCAGAGCCGAGGCGCGCTCGCTCTCACCGCTCCGGTCCCTGCCACCGGGCTCACGCGGCCAGCGGCAGCAGCGGAAAGGACCTGCATCACCGCGGTCACCTCGGGCGACTCCAGCGGATGACGTAGTGCATCTCCCGGGCTCTGGAGGCTGAGGGAACGTGCTGCACCTGAGTCCGCGAGACACCTCCTCCAGCACGCGAACTCTCTGCTCCTCCACGCGCACTCCCCGCTCCTCCACGCGCTCTCTCTGCTCCTCCACGCGTTCTCTCTGCTCCTCCTCGCGCTCTCTCTGCTCCTCCTCGCGCTCTCTCTGCTCCTCCTCGCGCTCTCTCTGCTCCTCCACGCGCACTCTCTGCTCCTCCACGAGCTCTGGCTGCAGGTGTTGGGTTCAACTCCTCATGTCCCGGAGCTGGAGCTCTCTCTCTCTCATCTCTCTCCTCTCTCTCCTCAGTCTCACACGACTGTCACTCTGCCCTCTGCTGGAGACCACCCCTAAACACATCTGCGCACGGGCACGCGCACGCGCACGGGCACGCGCACGGGCACGCGCAGCAAACTGCAAACGAGAAAACCCTAAAGTGTCACAAAGATCCAGTTTTTATCACACAAGAGAAAAGCTCTGACATAACGTTCAGCTTAAAGAAGCTATACCCGATTTTTTTTCTAAGTAGTTCATAAACATGCTTTTTACTACATACAAGTTGTATCATAATACATCATTTAATTGAAAACTTGAGGTAATTGATTCAGCTGTGTAAGAATTACAAGCAGTGAAAAGTGCTGAGTAGAGTCTGAGCGGGACGTTCTCCTCCGCTCACAGAACGAGCAGCAAACAGCCTGCGTCCTCTAGTCTCTACAGCCTGTGTCCTCTAGTCTCTACAGCCTGCGTCCTCTAGTCTCTACAGCCTGTGTCCTCTAGTCTCTACAGCCTGTGTCCTCTAGTCTCTACAGCCTGCGTCCTCTAGTCTCTACAGCCTGTGTCCTCTAGTCTCTACAGCCTGTGTCCTCTAGTCTCTACAGCCTGTGTCCTCTAGTCTCTACAGCCTGTGTCCTCTAGCCTCTACAGCCTGCGTCCTCTAGTCTCTACAGCCTGTGTCCTCTAGTCTCTACAGCGCTGCGTCCTCTAGTCTCTACAGCCTGTGTCCTCTAGTCTCTACAGCGCTGCGTCCTCTAGTCTCTACAGCCTGCGTCCTCTAGTCTCTACAGCCTGCGTCCTCTAGTCTCTACAGCGCTGCGTCCTCTAGTCTCTACAGCCTGTGTCCTCTAGTCTCTACAGCGCTGCGTCCTCTAGTCTCTACAGCCTGTGTCCTCTAGTCTCTACAGCGCTGCGTCCTCTAGTCTCTACAGCCTGTGTCCTCTAGTCTCTACAGCGCTGCGTCCTCTAGTCTCTACAGCCTGTGTCCTCTAGCCTCTACAGCCTGTGTCCTCTAGTCTCTACAGCGCTGCGTCCTCTAGTCTCTACAGCCTGTGTCCTCTAGTCTCTACAGCGCTGCGTCCTCTAGTCTCTACAGCCTGCGTCCTCTAGTCTCTACAGCCTGCGTCCTCTAGTCTCTACAGCGCTGCGTCCTCTAGTCTCTACAGCCTGTGTCCTCTAGTCTCTACAGCGCTGCGTCCTCTAGTCTCTACAGCCTGTGTCCTCTAGTCTCTACAGCGCTGCGTCCTCTAGTCTCTACAGCCTGCGTCCTCTAGTCTCTACAGCCTGTGTCCTCTAGTCTCTACAGCCTGTGTCCTCTAGTCTCTACAGCGCTGCGTCCTCTAGTCTCTACAGCCTGTGTCCTCTAGTCTCTACAGCCTGTGTCCTCTAGTCTCTACAGCCTGTGTCCTCTAGTCTCTACAGCCTGTGTCCTCTAGTCTCTACAGCCTGTGTCCTCTAGTCTCTACAGCCTGTGTCCTCTAGTCTCTACAGCCTGTGTCCTCTAGTCTCTACAGCCTGTGTCCTCTAGTCTCTACAGCCTGCGTCCTCTAGTCTCTACAGCCTGCGTCCTCTAGTCTCTACAGCCTGTGTCCTCTAGTCTCTACAGCCTGTGTCCTCTAGTCTCTACAGCCTGTGTCCTCTAGTCTCTACAGCCTGTGTCCTCTAGTCTCTACAGCCTGTGTCCTCTAGTCTCTACAGCCTGTGTCCTCTAGTCTCTACAGCCTGTGTCCTCTAGTCTCTACAGCCTGTGTCCTCTAGTCTCTACAGCCTGTGTCCTCTAGTCTCTACAGCCTGTGTCCTCTAGTCTCTACAGCCTGTGTCCTCTAGTCTCTACAGCCTGCGTCCTCTAGTCTCTACAGCCTGTGTCCTCTAGCCTCTACAGCCTGTGTCCTCTAGTCTCTACAGCCTGTGTCCTCTAGTCTCTACAGCCTGTGTCCTCTAGCCTCTACAGCCTGTGTCCTCTAGTCTCTACAGCCTGTGTCCTCTAGTCTCTACAGCCTGCGTCCTCTAGTCTCTACAGCCTGTGTCCTCTAGTCTCTACAGCCTGTGTCCTCTAGTCTCTACAGCCTGTGTCCTCTAGTCTCTACAGCCTGTGTCCTCTAGTCTCTACAGCCTGTGTCCTCTAGTCTCTACAGCCTGTGTCCTCTAGTCTCTACAGCCTGTGTCCTCTAGTCTCTACAGCCTGTGTCCTCTAGTCTCTACAGCCTGTGTCCTCTAGTCTCTACAGCCTGCGTCCTCTAGTCTCTACAGCCTGTGTCCTCTAGTCTCTACAGCCTGTGTCCTCTAGTCTCTACAGCCTGTGTCCTCTAGTCTCTACAGCCTGTGTCCTCTAGTCTCTACAGCCTGTGTCCTCTAGTCTCTACAGCCTGTGTCCTCTAGCCTCTACAGCCTGTGTCCTCTAGTCTCTACAGCCTGTGTCCTCTAGTCTCTACAGTCTGTGTCCTCTAGTCTCTACAGCCTGTGTCCTCTAGCCTCTACAGCCTGTGTCCTCTAGTCTCTACAGCCTGTGTCCTCTAGTCTCTACAGCCTGTGTCCTCTAGCCTCTACAGCCTGTGTCCTCTAGTCTCTACAGCCTGTGTCCTCTAGTCTCTACAGCCTGTGTCCTCTAGTCTCTACAGCCTGTGTCCTCTAGCCTCTACAGCCTGTGTCCTCTAGTCTCTACAGCCTGTGTCCTCTAGTCTCTACAGCCTGCGTCCTCTAGTCTCTACAGCCTGTGTCCTCTAGTCTCTACAGCCTGTGTCCTCTAGTCTCTACAGCCTGTGTCCTCTAGTCTCTACAGCCTGTGTCCTCTAGTCTCTACAGCCTGTGTCCTCTAGTCTCTACAGCCTGTGTCCTCTAGTCTCTACAGCCTGTGTCCTCTAGTCTCTACAGCCTGTGTCCTCTAGTCTCTACAGCCTGTGTCCTCTAGTCTCTACAGCGCTGCGGAACACCAGGGCTTCGACTTCAAAATTCGAATATAATTCTAAAATAAAAAATGAACAAAATAATTGAATAAAAAATGTGAACAAATCTTAGACAACCCTTGTAATTCGAAATGTATTTAATGACTGCAAATAAAATAGTTAGCTCCCAAAGGTTTCACCGGGACGTGCTAGGCAGGTAACAGCTAAGCTAGCTAGTTGTTTCATGGTAACTTCCAGGTTTTTCGCAATCGCTTTTTGTCACATTGAAACAGTATTTTTGTCATGAAAACGTTAACAGCAAATTCAGAAATCATCCGTGCATGTGTGTTTAGGATGTATATGTGAACTGTATTGTCCGATTGACGTTTAATGGTGTTGATTGATAGGTATGTAGTTGTTTATTGAGCGTGGCTAGCTCCGCTAGCTCCGTTGGCTTCTCTACACAGACAAGTGTGCAGTGACAGGTGCTGATGGCTTGTTGTACTTGCAGAGTAATGGCAGTATTTTAAACACCTGAATTACAAACAGAGGTTGCATTGGGGCTTCGGTCATTATTGGTTTGAGAGTTCTGTTATCAAGAAAAAATGATCTGAAGAATTGCTGCTGCTGCTTTGAGGAGCTCTATAACACATTATAATTAAATATTAGAATATATTCTAAGGTTTTAAATTAATACATTCGGACGCGAAACTAGCGGTATTCTTTTACTTATATATTGTGTTAGCAGTGCGTTGCTTTAGTGCCATTTCATCGGTGATTGTTGCACAGCTTACAAGAAGTTGCGCTAATGCTAATGTTAGCATATGTATCAGATCGCAAATAAAACTAGATGGCTCTGTGTTATGAGAGCGTAGGGAAATGAGAAGCCATTGAGCGAGTTGGGGGCGGGGCTAAACATTCAAACATTGCAGCAACGGGTATAGCGCCTTTAAAGCACTCCTCCCTCACTCCTCCCTCACTCCCCCCTCACTCCCCCCTCACTCCCCCTCACTCCTCCCTCACTCCCCCCTCACTCCCCCTCACTCCTCCCTCACTCCCCCCTCACGCCTCCCTCACTCCCCCTCACTCCCCCCTCATTCCCCCTCACTCCCCCCTCACTCCCCCTCACTCCTCCCTCACTCCTCCCTCACTCCTCCCTCACTCCCCCCTCACTCCCCCCTCACTCCCCCTCACTCCTCCCTCACTCCCCCCTCACTCCTCCCTCCACTCCCCCTCACTCCCCTCCTCCCCCTCACCCCCTCACTCCCTCACTTTGTCACAGTCAGAATGTTCAAAGACACTGACGATACTTTTAGCAGACTTTAAAGAAGTCTCAGTGAAGTAACTCGATTATTTATATTTGTGTAAGATATAATTTTATTAGTTCTTTAATCTTCATTTATGGATAAAACTCTTCCAACAACACAACAGCACTTTATCAACACACGTACACATGTGTGTTGTGTGTCTGTACCATGTGTGTTGTGTGTCTATACCATATGTGCGTCCTCCCTCCACATGTGCACATGTGTGTTGTGCGTCTGTACCATGTGTGTTGTGTGTCTGTACCATGTGCGTCCTCCCTCCACACGTGCACATGTGTGTTGTGCGTCTGTACCATGTGTGTTGTGTGTCTGTACCATGTGCGTCCTCCCTCCACACGTGCACATGTGAGTTGTGTGTCTATACCATGTGTGTTGTGTGTCTGTACCATGTGTGTTGTGTGTCTATACCATGTACGTCCTCCCTCCACACGTGCACATGTGTGTTGTGTGTCTGTACCATGTGTGTTGTGTGTCTATACCATGTGCGTCCTCCCTCCAAACGTGCACATGTGTGTTGTGTGTCTGTACCATGTGTGTTGTGTGTCTATACCATGTGCGTCCTCCCTCCAAACGTGCACATGTGTGTTGTGTGTCTGTACCATGTGTGTTGTGTGTCTATACCATGTGCGTCCTCCCTCCACACGTGCACATGTGTGTTGTGTGTCTGTACCATGTGTGTTGTGTGTCTATACCATGTGCGTCCTCCCTCCAAACGTGCACATGTGTGTTGTGTGTCTGTACCATGTGTGTTGTGTGTCTATACCATGTGCGTCCTCCCTCCACACGTGCACATGTCTCACGTTTCCCTGACTCCAGTGCTCACTTTCTCTCCCCCTCTCGTTCGTCCACTGGAGATTAGCCTTTCTGTTGTCATGGAGACGGCGGCGGGATGAAGGGCGGACGGCGAGGCAGGGTTTAGGTCGGGCGCAAGGAGCAGAGGATGGAGCTGCACGGTTTTGTTTTGGCCTTCGCACCAAACCGTTGTCATGGAGATGGAAAGATGAACGAATGAATGAAACTATTAAAGGGGACGTATCATGGTCTGTAGAAAAAACATGCCTGGGCCGCCAAGAAGGCAAAAATGCCTGGGCCGTTTTTTTGTCCCAGTCCAGCCCTGCACATGATACATTAACACAATGACACATGGACACATGAACACATGGACACATGAGCACATGGAAACATGACACATTAATACAATGACACATGAACACATGACACATGAACACATGGGACATGAGCACAAGGACATATGAACACATGAACACATGGACACATGAACACATGAACACATGACCACATGGACACATGAACACATAGACACATGACACATGAACACAGGGACACATGGGACATGAGCACATGAACACATAGACACATGACACATGAGCACATGGACACATGAGCACAAGGACACATGAACACATGGACACATGAACACAAGGACACATGAACACATGGACACATGAACACATGAGCACATGGACACAGAAATACATGGACACATGACACATGAGCACATGGACACATGAACACATGAGCACATGGACACATGAACACCTGAACACTTGAACACATGGACACATGAACACATGACACACGGACACATGAACACATGAACACCTGAACACATGACACATGGACACATGAGCACATGAGACATGAACACATGACACATGGACACATGAGACATGAGCACATGAACACATGACACATAAACACATGAGACATGAACACGCGATCGTGACTTTGGATGGTAGTCTGTTTATGGCACGAGCGCATTGGTGACAAATCACTTTTACGCACGGGGGCCACCACCACCAGAGCGTGTATATGTAATAATATATACTGATATATGTACTAATATATACTGATATATGACTAATATATACTGATATATGTACTAATATATACTGATATATGACTAATATATACTGATATATGTACTAATATATACTGATATATGACTAATATATACTGATATATGTACTAATATATACTGATATATGACTAATATATACTGATATATGTACTAATATATACTGATATATGTACTAATATATACTGATTTGTATACTTATATATGTAAGCTACAGAGTACACTTATGTTAAAGCCCCCTTGTACATGCATAGAGTTCTGCAGGTGCGCAAAGAGGAGTCCGTGGATGTAGCACCAAATAAATACTGCTTCATCCACAACATTTCTCTGATGAATGTTTGTTTTTGATGTCACCATGACAACTGCGTGCAGCAGCGCGTGAATGTGAGAAGTTATGATTCTACTCAGGGTTCAATTACGGCGTCTCGCAGCCCAGTGCGTCTCAGCCCCGTGCGTCCCTCAGCCCCGTGCGTCTCTCAGTCCAGTGCGTCTCTCAGCCCCGTGCGTCTCTCAGCCCAGTGCGTCCCTCAGCCCCGTGCGTCTCTCAGCCCCGTGCGTCTCATCTGTCCGTTAAAGCTTACCTGTCCGTTCTTGCACAGGTCGGCCCACATACTGGTCCCGTCTCCGCCGCGCATCAGCACGTGGTACGTGAAGAAGTACATCCCGGACACTTGGCACGTGAACTTTCCGGTGCTGGCGTCGTACTGGTTTCCTAAATTGGTGATGACGTCGTCAAACTTCAGCACCTCGTAGCCCTCGTGCGGGTTCTTGAGACCGACGTAAAACGCGATGCGTAAAGGGTTTGCGGAGGAGTTCCTGTCTGTGTCGGTGGTGTCCGTGGCCCCGGTGCTCCCGGTGGTTAGAGTCGGTGCAGACAGTTTGTTGTGGCCCCTGTCCCCCGGGGGTCCTCTTGGTCCTGGGGGCCCCGGCGGACCTGCCTCTCCTGGTGGTCCTCTGGATCCAGATTTACCCGGTCTTCCCGGTTCCCCGCGCGTGCCCGCGGTCAGAGGTGGCTGCGGGAGCGCGTGGCTCTGCTTCATGGCGGTGGCCCCAGACTTGGCCCCTGGTTTCCCGCTGTAGGGGTCACAGACCATGCGGCACGTGCCTGTCATCTCGTAATAGTGCGCGGAGCTCTCCGTGGAGCGCAGCGTGAGCAGCGGCACCGCGATCACCGCCGCCAAGAGAAGCATCACGGACACCGCGCCCGCAGCCAGCAGCGCCCGCTTCCTCCCGGGACCGATGCAGGGGCCGCAGTCCGTGGACGCGCGCCGAGAGGGAATGATGGCAGTGGAGGAGTCTCTCAGGGAACTGGGGTCCTCACGGGGCTCCTCACACCGGGCTCCTCACACCGGGCTCCTCAGCAGCATCTGCTGCGGCTGGCACCGGTCTGAGCGCACGACAGCTGTGGATGAGAGCGCGCGGCCAGATGTGGACCGCTGTGGACCGGAAGAGCGCGCGCTGACCTTCAAATGAAGACTTGTGTTTTTCACATGTCACAGTTTGACTGGGACATCACGTGGTTCAGTCACATAAACGATGAGCCGTGAGGATGTGAACTGATGACGTTCTGCGTCTGTACCTGTCTCTTACGTCATCAGACACACGAGGACACAGTCTGTTCTGTGCTTCTTCTTCCCCTCAGTCTGACCCGCGCGGCCCCCGCAGCCGCAGCTCGTGCGTGACTGTTTGACTAGAGTCAGTTCTGCTCACGGCTCAACATTCACCAAAACAAACATGTGTCACTCAAGAACATGAGGAAGAGTTTATACTGAACTCTCCCTCACTCTCCCTCACTCTTCCCCAGTCTCCCTCAGTCTCCCTCAGTCTCCCTCACTCTCCCTCAGTCTCCCTCAGTCTCCCTCAGTCTCCCTCAGTCTCCCTCACTCTCCCTCAGTCTCCCTCACTCTCCCTCACTCTCCCTCAGTCTCCCTCACTCTCCCTCAGTCTCCCTCACTCTCCCTCAGTCTCCCTCACTCTCCCTCAGTCTCCCTCACTCTCCCTCAGTCTCCCTCACTCTCCCTCACTCTCCCTCAGTCTCCCTCACTCTCCCTCAGTCTCCCTCACTCTCCCTCAGTCTTCCTCAGTCTCCCTCAGTCTCCCTCACTCTCCCTCACTCTCCCTCAGTCTCCCTCACTCTCCCTCAGTCTCCCTCACTCTCCCTCAGTCTTCCTCAGTCTCCCTCAGTCTCCCTCACTCTCCCTCAGTCTTCCTCAGTCTCCCTCAGTCTCCCTCACTCTCCCTCAGTCTCTCTCACTCTCCCTCAGTCTCCCTCACTCTCCCTCAGTCTCCCTCACTCTCCCTCACTCTCCCTCAGTCTCCCTCACTCTCCCTCAGTCTCCCTCACTCTCCCTCAGTCTTCCTCAGTCTCCCTCACTCTCCCTCAGTCCTCCCTCAGTCTCCCTCACTCTCCCTCAGTCTCCCTCACTCTCCCTCAGTCTCCCTCAGTCTCCCTCACTCTCCCTCAGTCTCCCTCACTCTCCCTCAGTCTCCCTCAGTCTCCCTCAGTCTCCCTCAGTCTCCCTCACTCTCCCTCAGTCTCCCTCACTCTCCCTCAGTCTCCCTCACTCTCCCTCAGTCTCCCTCACTCTCCCTCATCTCCCTCAGTCTCCCTCACTCTCCCTCACTCTCCCTCAGTCTCCCTCACTCTCCCTCACTCTCCCTCAGTCTCCCTCAGTCTCCCTCAGTCTCCCTCACTCTCCCTCAGTCTCCCTCAGTCTCCCTCACTCTCCCTCAGTCTCCCTCAGTCTCCCTCACTCTCCCTCAGTCTCCCTCAGTCTCCCTCACTCTCCCTCAGTCTCCCTCAGTCTCCCTCACTCTCCCTCACTCTCCCTCAGTCTCCCTCAGTCTCCCTCACTCTCCCTCAGTCTCCCTCAGTCTCCCTCACTCTCTCCCTCAGTCTCCCTCAGTCTCCCTCAGTCTCCCTCAGTCTCCCTCACTCTCCCTCACTCTCCCTCAGTCTCCCTCACTCTCCCTCAGTCTCCCTCAGTCTCCCTCACTCTCCCTCACTCTCCCTCAGTCTCCCTCACTCTCCCTCAGTCTCCCTCAGTCTCCCTCAGTCTCCCTCACTCTCCCTCAGTCTCCCTCAGTCTCCCTCACTCTCCCTCAGTCTCCCTCAGTCTCCCTCACTCTCCCTCAGTCTCCCTCAGTCTCCCTCACTCTCCCTCACTCTCCCTCAGTCTCCCTCAGTCTCCCTCACTCTCCCTCAGTCTCCCTCACTCTCCCTCAGTCTCCCTCAGTCTCCCTCACTCTCCCTCACTCTCCCTCAGTCTCCCTCAGTCTCCCTCAGTCTCCCTCAGTCTCCCTCACTCTCCCTCACTCTCCCTCAGTCTCCCTCACTCTCCCTCAGTCTCCCTCAGTCTCCCTCACTCTTCCTCACTCTTCCTCACTCATAGACCTTGAAATGTGGCCTTTTGTTTTCAGACTGTGAGACTTGGCAGTAAAATCTAAATTAATCTTTTTCTGTTAAACTGTGATTTTTTGCTGAAACTCGACAGTTTTGCTCAAACCCGTGTCTTTGATGAGTTTAATCGAATCCCAGTCTGGGTTTATTCCCCATCTCTCTGGGCTTTAGGACCACGGCCCGAGGCTTAGAGCTCAAGCCCTCTGCAGCAAACACCAATTTGGACCAAGTCTGGAGTCAGACCCAAAACCCCAAGATGGCGTCTGGAGGTGAAGGACAAGGTTAGGATCAGGAGGATGTGAAATCTTATATTTACATGTTGTTTAAAGGTCTGTGTCCCGTGGGATTATGGGTCGCCGAGCGGCTTCTGCCCGACAACAGAGACACACCAATCACATTTATTGATAAAACACGATTCATAAGCGATTAAAAACAGACAATACAATCAATCAAGCAGTGCAAACGATGAAATCATAAATACATTAAAAACACACAAATACATGTAAAAAGTAGAATGGTCAAACTCAGTTGTTAAAAGCCGTGTGTGTGTGGGTGTGTGTGTGTGTGTGTGTGTGTGTGTGTGTATGTGTGTGTGTATGAGTGTTCATGAGAGCATGTGTGTGTTTGTCTATGGTTTGGGGTGGGTCTGTTGGGTGGTCGGGGGGAGGGGTCATGGGTCGGCGGGATTGCTTTTAACCAAACTGTAAAGCACTTTGTGTTGCATCTTTTGTATGAAAAGCGCTTTATAAATAAAATTTGGTTGATTGATTGATTCTTTGACTAGATTTAAAAACCTGCATATAATTAACAATGATTCTTCTGGACCCTGGAAAAGCCATGTTCCAGCTTCTTCCCTCTGGTAGAAGATCTTGATATGATTCTAAACAAAGAGCTTTTGACAATTGTGTCTATACTTTTCTCTTGTCTTACTCCTGTTCTATTCTTTTGTTTTTCTCTCGTACTTTTCTCCGGTTTTCCTCCTGACGTGTCTGCTGCACACTGAGGACTCGCTCATGTATTCCAACGGGGTTTTACTGCAAAAGGCAAAACATTAGATGGAAAAACCTGCATATACCCAATAATTAACAACGATTATTCAGGTCCCTGGAAACAAGCCCTGTTCCAGCTTCTTCCCTCTGGTAGAAGATCTGGACATGCTAACGACTTCTTTCCACAAGCACAAGTTTAAACAGAGAACTTTTAACCGTTCAAAGTGACAGTCGTGTCTGCACTTTCTCTGGTTTTCCTCCTGACGTGTCTGCTGCACACTGGGGACTCTCGCTCATGTATTCCAAAGGGGTTTTACTGCAAAAGGCAAAACATCTGAGACTAAATCATCATCTCAAAGACAGCGCTTCCAACCGTTTCCATGACTCATGCGTTTGCCTGAGTTCCCCTCGCGCTCCGCGGCTGCGCTGACCTTTGTGCTCCAGTTAACCGTGTCTCTGGGCCGTGGTCCTCTTCCTTTGTTGCCTCGCACTAAAATATAATGTTGTGTTTGCAGAGAGTCATCGGTGGAAGCCTGTGGTGCTGAACGTGAATCAGACGTCATTAGTCCCAACTCCGGCTTCAGCTCCGGCTCCGGTGAAGTTTACAGCAGCAGTAAGATTTTAATGTTCGGTCATCATTAAAGGGCCTTAATCTGTCGTCATTAAAGGGCCTTAATCTGTCGTCATTAAAGGGCCCTAATCTGTCGTCATTAAAGGGCCATAATCTGTCATCATTAAAGGGCCCTAATCTGTTATCATTAAAGGGCCCTAATCTGTTATCATTAAAGGGCCCTAATCTGTCATCATTAAAGGGCCCTAATCTTTCGTCATTAAAGGGCTCTAATCTTTCGTCATTAAAGGGCCCGAATCTGTCATCATTAAAGGGCCCTAATCTTTCGTCATTAAAGGGCCCAAATCTGTCATCATTAAAGGGCCCTAATCTTTCGTCATTAAAGGGCTCTAATCTTTTGTCATTAAAGGGTCCTAATCTGTCATCATTAAAGGGCCCAAATCTGTCATCATTAAAGGGCCCTAATTTTTCGTCATTAAAGGGCACTAGTCTGTCATCATTAAAGGGCCCTAATCTGTCATCATTAAAGGGCCCAAATCTGTCATCATTAAAGGGCCCTAATCTGTCATCATTAAAGGGCCCTAATCTTTCGTCATTAAAGGGCTCTAATCTGTTATCATTAAAGGGCCCTAATCTGTCATCATTAAAGGGCCCTAATCTGTCATCATTAAAGGGCCCTAATCTGTCATTATTAAAGGGCCCTTAAATGTCATCATTAAAGGGCCCTAATCTTTCGTCATTAAAGGGCTCTAATCTTTCGTCATTAAAGGGCCCGAATCTGTCATCATTAAAGGGCCCTAATCTTTCGTCATTAAAGGGCCCAAATCTGTCATCATTAAAGGGCCCTAATCTTTCGTCATTAAAGGGCTCTAATCTTTTGTCATTAAAGGGTCCTAATCTGTCATCATTAAAGGGCCCAAATCTGTCATCATTAAAGGGCCCTAATTTTTCGTCATTAAAGGGCACTAGTCTGTCATCATTAAAGGGCCCTAATCTGTCATCATTAAAGGGCCCAAATCTGTCATCATTAAAGGGCCCTAATCTGTCATCATTAAAGGGCCCTAATCTTTCGTCATTAAAGGGCTCTAATCTGTTATCATTAAAGGGCCCTAATCTGTCATCATTAAAGGGCCCTAATCTGTCATCATTAAAGGGCCCTAATCTGTCATTATTAAAGGGCCCTTAAATGTCATCATTAAAGGGCCCTAATCTTTTGTCATTAAAGGGCTCTAATCTTTCGTCATTAAAGGGCCCGAATCTGTCATCATTAAAGGGCCCTAATCTTTCGTCATTAAAGGGCCCAAATCTGTCATCATTAAAGGGCCCTAATCTTTCGTCATTAAAGGGCTCTAATCTTTTGTCATTAAAGGGTCCTAATCTGTCATCATTAAAGGGCCCAAATCTGTCATCATTAAAGGGCCCTAATTTTTCGTCATTAAAGGGCACTAGTCTGTCATCATTAAAGGGCCCTAATCTGTCATCATTAAAGGGCCCAAATCTGTCATCATTAAAGGGCCCTAATCTTTCGTCATTAAAGGGCACTAGTCTGTCATCATTAAAGGGCCCTAATCTGTCATCATTAAAGGGCTGTTTCACCAATCAGAAAGTCTGTGATCCGGGTGCCAGAACTCACCGTGTGGAGCTAATCTCACTGGTAAAGTACCATGTGGCGCTAATCTCACTGGTAAAGTACCATGTGGCGCAGAACTAAAAAAGGTCTCGTTATGATTCTCAAATCATTAACGACAAAACAAGGAATAAAAGCAGGATTTCTATCTTTGTGAAAAAGGTGTTGGTTATAGATTTGTTGTTGACAAAACTCTTGTCTATTCAGCTGTTATGGTCCCAGCTGGATTCGTCTGCATATCTGGCAACCTGAGTCAGGGAGAGTGGGAGAGGCTGCAGTACCACTTTTGGCCACATGTTTACACACTGCTCCTTTAAAGAAAGATTTATTCCATTTGTCACGAGGCGTTTATGTCCAGGAAAAACAAGATGGCGCTGACAGCTGCACCATCAGCTCCTGTCTGTGTGTGTGACCCTAATAACGGGAGAGGAGGACCACACACACACACACACACACATACACACACACACACACACACACACACACACACACACACACAGAGACACACACACACACACACACAGACACACACACAGACCCACGCACACACACAGACACACACACACACACACAGACACACACAGACACACACACACACACACACAAAGACACAGACACACACACACCTCTGACCGCCCAGGACCCAGCTCTAGGCAGACATTTTATCCCCATCGTTGTGTGTATGTTTGTGTGTGTTACGGTTATGTAAGAAACACACTTTTGCTTAGTGCTGTGATGTTCTCTTTGTGTTTGCGAGTCAGCAGGGCAGGGCCTGGTTAGTCTGTGATGGGAGACCTCTAGGAACAGCACATTAGAATGAGTCTGGTGTGTGTGTGAATGGTTGGTGGTGGTGGGAGGGGCCGAATGCACAGATTGGTTGCCTCACTTCTGTCTGTGTGCCCCAGGGCAGCTGTGGCTATTTACACAAGCAATGACTAAAGCGTCCACAAGTGAACTAACGACTGAGTCTCTGATTAAACTGTGCTTTTAGCGCGCGCTCTTCCGGTCCACAGCGGTCCACATCTGGCCGCGCGCTCTCATCCACAGCTGTCGTGCGCTCAGACCGGTGCCAGCCGCAGCAGATGCTGCTGAGGAGCCCGGTGTGAGGAGCCCGGTGTGAGGAGCCCCGTGAGGACCCCAGTTCCCTGAGAGACTCCTCCACTGCCATCATTCCCTCTCGGCGCGCGTCCACGGACTGCGGCCCCTGCATCGGTCCCGGGAGGAAGCGGGCGCTGCTGGCTGCGGGCGCGGTGTCCGTGATGCTTCTCTTGGCGGCGGTGATCGCGGTGCCGCTGCTCACGCTGCGCTCCACGGAGAGCTCCGCGCACTATTACGAGATGACAGGCACGTGCCGCATGGTCTGTGACCCCTACAGCGGGAAACCAGGGGCCAAGTCTGGGGCCACCGCCATGAAGCAGAGCCACGCGCTCCCGCAGCCACCTCTGACCGCGGGCACGCGCGGGGAACCGGGAAGACCGGGTAAATCTGGATCCAGAGGACCACCAGGAGAGGCAGGTCCGCCGGGGCCCCCAGGACCAAGAGGACCCCCGGGGGACAGGGGCCACAACAAACTGTCTGCACCGACTCTAACCACCGGGAGCACCGGGGCCACGGACACCACCGACACAGACAGGAACTCCTCCGCAAACCCTTTACGCATCGCGTTTTACGTCGGTCTCAAGAACCCGCACGAGGGCTACGAGGTGCTGAAGTTTGACGACGTCATCACCAATTTAGGAAACCAGTACGACGCCAGCACCGGAAAGTTCACGTGCCAAGTGTCCGGGATGTACTTCTTCACGTACCACGTGCTGATGCGCGGCGGAGACGGGACCAGTATGTGGGCCGACCTGTGCAAGAACGGACAGGTAAGCTTTAACGGACAGATGAGACGCACGGGGCTGAGAGACGCACGGGGCTGAGGGACGCACTGGGCTGAGAGACGCACGGGGCTGAGAGACGCACTGGACTGAGAGACGCACGGGGCTGAGGGACGCACGGGGCTGAGACGCACTGGGCTGCGAGACGCCGTAATTGAACCCTGAGTAGAATCATAACTTCTCACATTCACGCGCTGCTGCACGCAGTTGTCATGGTGACATCAAAAACAAACATTCATCAGAGAAATGTTGTGGATGAAGCAGTATTTATTTGGTGCTACATCCACGGACTCCTCTTTGCGCACCTGCAGAACTCTATGCATGTACAAGGGGGCTTTAACATAAGTGTACTCTGTAGCTTACATATATAATAAGTATACAAATCAGTATATATATTAGTACATATATCAGTATATATTAGTACATATATCAGTATATATTAGTCATATATCAGTATATATTAGTACATATATCAGTATATATTAGTCATATATCAGTATATATTAGTACATATATCAGTATATATTAGTCATATATCAGTATATATTAGTACATATATCAGTATATATATTTATTACATATACACGCTCTGGTGGTGGTGGCCCCCGTGCGTAAAAGTGATTTGTCACCAATGCGCTCGTGCCATAAACAGACTACCATCCAAAGTCACGATCGCGTGTTCATGTCTCATGTGTTTATGTGTCATGTGTTCATGTGCTCATGTCTCATGTGTCCATGTGTCATGTGTTCATGTCTCATGTGCTCATGTGTCCATGTGTCATGTGTTCAGGTGTTCATGTGTTCATGTGTCCGTGTGTCATGTGTTCATGTGTCCATGTGTTCAAGTGTTCAGGTGTTCATGTGTCCATGTGCTCATGTGTTCATGTGTCCATGTGCTCATGTGTCATGTGTCCATGTATTTCTGTGTCCATGTGCTCATGTGTTCATGTGTCCATGTGTTCATGTGTCCTTGTGTTCATGTGTCCATGTGTTCATGTGTCCTTGTGCTCATGTGTCCATGTGCTCATGTGTCATGTGTCTATGTGTTCATGTGCTCATGTCCCATGTGTCCCTGTGTTCATGTGTCATGTGTCTATGTGTTCATGTGTCCATGTGGTCATGTGTTCATGTGTTCATGTGTCCATGTGTTCATGTGTTCATATGTCCTTGTGCTCATGTCCCATGTGTTCATGTGTCATGTGTTCATGTGTCATTGTATTAATGTGTCATGTTTCCATGTGCTCATGTGTCCATGTGTTCATGTGTCCATGTGTCATTGTGTTAATGTATCATGTGCAGGGCTGGACTGGGACAAAAAAACGGCCCAGGCATTTTTGCCTTCTTGGCGGCCCAGGCATGTTTTTTCACGTTTTTTACAGTTTGTTTATACCAGGCGTCTGCAACTCAAAAGGTTCAAAGAGCCAAAAACAATATCTGTCTGGAGCCGCAAAAAAAAACAGCCTTGTATAAGGCTTATATGAAGGTAACACAGGCTGCAGCTGTATTAGCTACATTAGCTTAATATCTAAATGACAAAGTAAAGGCTACAAATGCATAATAAGCATTCATGATTATCAAATGTGTGTTTTCACTGCAGCGTGTCCTGGAGAGAATGACGCACCACGTGACGACTCTGGTTTAACTTTAACTTCCATTTTTTGTCTTCATGCAATTGTAGAAATACAGTAAATAAATCTGTTTTTTGGCTCAGAGTTCACATCACAGGCTGAAGTTTGCTGGAGCTGAATGTCCTTAATGGCCTTTTCTTTCACCGTTTTTGCGAAGGTATTTGAAGTCTGAAAATAGGTGCTCTGAATTTGCGATGAATGAATCCTTCACGTGATCACCGTGAACGGTGTTTAGCGCATCATTGTTCCTCGTGTTGTAACTTCTCAATACAAACATGAAGCAGTCCTTCCTCATTGACTGAAAGCAAATGTTCATACTTATTCTTAGTACAGACTTATTATCGACTCTTTCTCTTTTTAGCTTTGGGATCCATGGCACATGCCGGTTTGTTTACAGCAGCAGCCGCCTAACGCAGGCCGCTTCACAGGATATGACGCACTACGTTGACAGAAATGTCGAAATTGAATATTACTTACGCACATTTTTGCAGCATTTAAAAACGTTAAGAATGTTTTTCATCCTACAGAAACCACATTCAAACTAGAAATAAAATATAGCCCTCCCACTCCATTTCAGACATTTTTTAAAAGACTCCAGCCGCAGGTTGCCGACCCCTGGTTTATACAGCATGGAAGAGAATACTAGAGGATCAGGATATGTGCAGTTTCAACAAATGAAATACAGTGCAATAGTCTACATTACAAGAGAGTAATAAACATGTCTCAGAGTGAAGGAGGTGGACACAGACAACACTGTTGTTTATTACAGGGATGAGAATTGGTCAAAAAAGTCTGAAATTCATAATGCCAGCCATTGTCTGTCACTAAATCTGTTTGATTTGTTCACAACATTTTACTACATGGGCTCAAATATTAACTTTTAATGCAATGGAAAATTTAGGTACCTGAGCTTTAATTTAGTCGCTCTTCGAGAGGAGAGGGGAGACGCGGACTGTTTCCTGCAGCGGTGTATTTATTGGGTGCACAGATTACACAAAGAAATGCATGGTCCTGTGCGCGTCTATGGTCTTGGGTATATGGTCACGTTGAGGCTACGCGCTCACCGTGTTGTGTTGTGAGCGGATCTCGTGGTTCCCGCGTCCAGCTCAGAGCCGCTGGATGCTTGAACCGCTCATTACAAAGCGGCCGCAGCTGTCTCGGAACACTGCGGCTGCTGAGGTGGCGGAATCCCGTTCGAGTATATACAGCAGTTGGCCGCGGACATGCGCGCCCCCCCTCAAACATTTTTCACAAACATGTTTTTTGTATGAAGCAGACAGACCGGCCCAAATATGGGCATCGGCCCTTCGGGCATTGCCCGGTATGCCCGATGGCCAGTCCAGCCCTGATCATGTGTCCATGTGTCCATGTGTCCTTGTGTTCATGTGTTCATGTGTTGTTGTGTCCATGTATCATGTATTCATGTTTTAATGTATTCATATGTGCATGTGTTCACATATTGATTTGCTCATGTCCCATGTGTTCATATGTAAATGTACTCATGTGTTCATGTATCCATATGTTCATGTGTTCATGCAGGTTTATGTATTCATGTGTTTCTGTGTCATGTGTCCATGTCTCATGTGTTCATGTGTCTGATATGTTTTTTATGTTCACGTATTCATGTTCTCATGTCTCATATGTTCATGTGTCTGATATGTTTTTTATGTTCACGTATTCATGTTCTCATGTCTCATATGTTCATGTGTTGATGCAGGTTAATGTATTAATGTGTTCATATGTTCATGTATTCATGAATGCATGTGTTCGTTATGTTCATGTATTCATATGTTCATGTGTTCATGTATTCATATGTTCATGTATTCATGTGTTCATGTATTCATATGTTCATGTATTCATGTGTTCATGTATTCATATGTTCATGTATTCATGTGTTCATGTATTCATATGTTCAGGTATTCATGTGTTCATGTATTCATATGTTCATGTGTTCATGTATTCATATGTTCATGTATTCATATGGTATGTATTAATGTATTCATATGTTCATGTATTCATGTGTTCATGAATGCATGTGTTCATATGTTCATGTATTCATGTGTTCATGTATTCATATGTTCATGTATTCATGTGTTCATGCATTCATATGTTCATGTATTCATGTGTTCATATGTTCATGTATTCATATGTTATGTGTTAATGTGTTCATATGTTCATGTATTCATATGTCCATGTATTCATTTGTTCATGTATTCATTTGTTCATGTATTCATATGTTCATGTATTCATATGTTCATGTATTCATATGTTCATGTATTCATATGTCCATGTATTCATTTGTTCATGTGTTCATATGTTCATGTATTCATATGTTATGTGTTAATGTATTCATGTATTCATATGTCCATGTGCCCATGTATTCATTTGTTCATATGTTCATGTGTTCATGTGTCCATGCAGGTTCATATGTTCATATGTTCATGTGTCCATGCAGGTTCATATGTTCATGTGTTCATGTGTTGATGCAGGTCCGGGCCAGTGCCATTGCGCAGGATGCAGATCAGAACTATGACTATGCCAGTAACACTGCTCTGCTGCGTCTGGACTCAGGAGACGAGGTCTACGTCAAACTGGACGGAGGCAAAGCTCACGGAGGCAACAACAACAAGTACAGCACCTTCTCCGGCTTCATCCTGTACCCGGACTGA